CAGGCACATATGATGCCACTCACTGACCTCAAGGTGTTTTTGCAATTATCTCAGAAACAGCTTGGCTTAAAAAATTTTATTTCCCCTTATATTTTTAAGTCATCTGCACCTTTTTGCAATCTGCTTGGACCCCAATCATTGCCACTTGTGGCTATATTTGGTCTTGTTTTAGGAGCATCTCTCCAGATTGGCCATTCATAAGTGGATTGATTTACACTAAGCCTCCTGGAATGTATGTGTAGTTCTTTGTGACCTGTCTTGTGCATGGGTGACCATGAACCATTTCGTTTTAGATCAATAAAGTTATCTATCCATGTTTTTGTAGTAAAAGGAGACCACTGCAGCTACAAGCTACTCATCACAGGTGTCAATTATATGTTAAAATACACTGTAACAACATTTGTCATTAAATTACAATAAAATACTGGCAGCTACAGTTGCCAGCATGAAACTGTTATTTTACAGTGTAACTACTGTAATCAATAACAACAGTTTATTACTGTAAAAAATATTACAGTAATGTGCTAGTAATATAAGCATTACAGTATAATACTGTTTGTTTGGTTTTACAGTATAACACTGCTGTAAGCTAATGATTTAAACATTTTACATTTCAAAATAAAAATACCTCAAAATTTCTTGCCTTTAAATGGATCAGACAATAGATGGCCTTACAGCATGTGGCATTTATTAAAGTCAATGCACTATCAACAAAATAAAATGACAAATTTTAAAATAAGTACAATTTTGTAAAATAGATTTCATTAAAACGCAATTTCTGAACAGGTTCTCAATATGCTATACTAGCCTACTCTATGTATCCTATGATCAGTTAAATTATTTTCTTGAACTATGACAGCTATGTAACATTATTTATTAAAGCCACTGCTTCATACACCTTCTGTAGCTGACAAATTTACAGTAATGTAATTCTTGTAAAATACAATCCATAACAACAATAAATCATTTCAAGCAGGTCCTCAACAATCTTTCAACAACTTGCATACCATACTTAAAACTGTACCCTGCCTTCAGTATCCATAAGGTATGATCACGAAAAAACAGAGAAAGCAAAAAAGAAATTAGGTGTGCTAAATAAAGATTATTTGCACTCAATATGTAATCCTCTCACATTGGACATTCCACTTTAGATAATCGAAGTCTGACATATCATGGTTATTTTGTGATTTAGTACAGTAAATATATTATATATTGGTCCTTTAAGACTGTACTTTGGATTTTTTCAACCATGGTGTCTATTGTTAAAAAACTTCAGATATGCATGCATTATCCTCGGTTCAGACCTCACAGGCAAGCGCAGTTTAGCCCTCCTCTCTATCGCTCTCTTTTGATATCAAATTCAAATTTGAATGACCTTTATTGGCAGATGTGAGAGCAACCTAATAACCCTCTATATATCTATCTATTACACTATATTTTAGCATGTAACCAGTAAATGTATACAGTACAGCAGTTTCTGAAACTTTGTTCAGGCTCTATGCTTTGTGTCCATGCATGCTTGCAACATGGGTTTTGTTATGCTTTTGTCTTTTACATTTGATAAAAATCAACACACAATATCATAACCGGGTAATGCTGACTTTGATAAGATTGAAATTACCTTGTTAAGTAAGCCACAAGAGCAGGATGGATAACAGTGTGCAGGCTTAGGCAAGGAAGAGAGCACCAGGTGGGGATCTGCTTCGCCCACTTCAGTGCTGCCAGGGCCAGAATCCGGGTGAAAATTGTCTTCAGTTCTTCATCTCTTTATTATCCTTCCTATTATGTTGATTAAAATCACTACTCTATAATGCTAAACTCGTTTTTTTAATTTATGTAAGTTGACCACGTGCTGAGGTGGTGTGACGTGAAGCAACATGACGTGATCAGATGAGTTATGGGCGGACTCAAGCAACAAAACAAAAAATACTCTATTAGACAGTGACATTGTACAGTAGCTCGCTGTTAATATGTTTTTCCCTCAAAGGCATCAACATTGACAGTATTCAACTGTACAAATAACGGTGCATTACTGTACAAAATGTCCCGTTATTTTACAGCAATTTGTTACAGTGTAATTAATCTGACAACAAGAGAGGGTGTGTTCTTAATCCCCACTCCCTATTCAAATAAAACATTTTCTTCCCTTATGTGATTTAGTCTGTTTCACAATAAATTACCAATATATGTGACTTCCTTTAATCAAAGTACTTGTTGCTCAATCAAACTCTAAGCTATTTGGCTGAACTGAATGCCACATAGATTATAATAGCCAGCCTCTGGTGTCTTCAGGTTTCCATGAAACCAACACTGAAACCTAATAAGATCTTTATAAATGTGTTACATCACAGTCTTATTTTGAATTTAATTACACAACACTGCCTGCATCAGCCTGTTAGGCATTTCCCTGGTTGGTTAACTGAACAAAGTGAATATGTGAGTTAAAATATGGTCTTTTAAATCTTTATAATCTATGATTTACTTCATTTTAATTCAATTGGTTGATGTGTTTAATGGATATTTTTAGTTGATGTATGTGATAATAATAATGACCTGATTTTCATTATTAATTCTATCCTTTGCTTATTGCCGGTGTTGTGATTTGTAATTTAACTTTCATTTTCATAAACAGAGGCGTCATCCATATCTGACTGCCATCAACAGATTGTCAGAGCAGCTTTGTTGGATCCTTGTGTTTAAATTTGCACCCCACACCACATGTTCTGAAAGCATCACAGTGTTTTTTCCATAATCAGATTTAAAAACTTGACTCATATATTTTTTTCTTAAGCAATCTCTTACACAGGGATTGGAGAATATGTGTTTTTGCTTTCCACTGTGATCACATGTTTGCCACAGTGCTGCGGCATCAGTGCTCAAGAAACCCTGCACAAAAAAAAAGTGAAACTTCAGTAACCTAAACACTAACCAACCTACGGACCCGCCTACACTGCTACATTACTATGACCAGTGGGAACTAATTAAAAATGACTGAATTATCAGTATTTAACCATTCTTCAATCAAAAGCTACCATTAAATCCTCCTTCAGAAACTTGTGCACTCTGGGACTGTAAGCATCACGGGAGACCTCTCCTGTGAAGCATCAAAGCACACTGGGGGAGGCCAGGTATTGACAGGGAGGTTCTTACATCTTTGATGCGTTTGTATACAGGTTGCCATGGATCAAACTTAGCAGGAGAGCCACAGAAAAAATAAATTGTACATTAGTAACATGGATGTTCATACAAAAGTGACGGTCAGTCTGTCTTTTCTGCTTTTAAAGGTCATTACAGACTGTGGTCGGCAACATATCATCTCAACCTGTGTGTGTCCGTGCCATGCAGTAGGAGTGAGACTGAGTCATTTGTAAAGGTTGCTGATGCATAACATATGAAGTGCTATAATTGGTTAAACTCAATGTCAGTTGATGTCTCTGTCTTTTAATTTCCCTTCATCCTTACACAAATCTTTCATCCTTTAATGTTCATGAACAATCATTTATTCCTTCCATTTTTTACCATCAGAGTACAATACACTTTCTTAAAAGATCTGAACCTATGAGCATAACGTTTTGCATCACTAAACCCCCTTTAAAATATGATAGGACTAACGCTGTACATATCATCGCGTCTGATCGCTGCTCTCTCAGCCAGTGAAGCTGACAGATCATCATCTGAGGCGGAGGATGAGGAGGTGGAGGCAGGACGAAGGGGTGAAAAGGAGACGGAGAGAAGCAGCGGGTGGGGTGGTGGTGGAAGAGAGAGGGAGGGGAGTGTTTTTCAGCGTCGAGTGTGTGTGTGGGTGTGTGTACCGTGTAGCCTTCCTTTGAAGTGTTTTACCCCTGGGGACGGCAGTTTCTCACAGACCACAGCTTGGATGGTGTCACATGTGATGCATAAGCACGGATAAACACAGAAACTTATACGGCGACACGCAGATGAAGACTCAGGCAGACTGTGATAAATGTGTGTCCACACACACACACACACACACACACACACACACACACACACCTCACAGGATTAACAGAGGCATTCACCCATACAACACTGACCCTTGTCTTGTCTACAATACAACGCTTGTTTGGGGGACTTCAATCTAGTTTTTCAGACATTTTCTGTCATCATCCCTGTGCCGTTTTTGTACAAGATGGCTAGAAGACAAGACACAACAAAAAAACACTGACTAAGGCTCCTTGGAGAAGCAGCCCTCTGTGCATGACTACACACAGGCAGAACTCAAAAAAATTCCAAATTAAATTCTTATAAATGTCCATTGGTCGAATATACTATGTACATTTACTCAGGTACTGTACTTTAGCACACATTTGAGGTATATGTAATTTCCATGTTATGCTCATTTATACTTCTCATTTCTACTTCAGAGGGAAATATTGTACTTTTTACTTCATTACATTTATTTGATTATTTTAGTTACTAGTTAATTTGGAAATTATGATTTTACACATAAAATGCACGATGATGATATAGATTAAACCCAACAGTAGTTAAAATTAACTCCAGCTTGATCAGCTACAAAAGTACAATAGACACATTCATGCATCAGTAGGAAATTAACACACAATATTAATGATAATAATACTATCACAGGGGCCAGTACTTTTCCTTTTGATACTTTAACACATGTTGCTAATAATACTTCTGCATGCATTTTCAATGACGGACTTGTAATGGAGGATTTCTACATAGAAATATCCCTTATTTTGCTTAAGTACTTCCTTCTCTAACTATACATTTTGGCAAGTGAATGCCGGTATTAAATAAAACTTACTTAACCTCTCCTGTATTAAATTTTGAACAACACAGTGAAAGATCTTTGCACAAAAAGATTTCAAAATGCAATTTGTGAAAATTTAGCAAGGCTTCTAGTGGTTATGCATGCATATAAAAGATGGAATACTACTTTGAAGTGGACGTGAACATGCTGGCACAAATGGAAAATTCAAAACACACACACACACACACACACATACACAAACACACACTTTACCTTTGGACCTGAGCAGAAACAGTGAATAAGAAAATTTGATCACATCTCTGCAGGAGTGCTTGGCATTGTCAGCAGCAGTCACCTGTGGTTAATGTCTGGTTGGTTTAGATGTCTCCAGGACTAAAGTTTAACAAATGAGATCCAATTTTAAAATTGTTGTTTTTGAGAAAGTATCATGAAAGTATGTGTGTTCTCATGGCCTCAAAAGGCTGATTTATTTAGTTCTTTCATTTATTTCACCCCATGGGAATTAATAATTGCATCTACCCAACGGCAAGAGGGGTCTGCCAGACATTCATCTTTTTGATAGCTGTCATAAAACAAAAATGATCAAATTTAGATTAATCTGATGGAAGAGATTAATCACTCACAGGTTTGTTGGAGGCTGCAATTTATGACTCAAATTTAAGGCATTTAAATTGGAATATAAATCCACCCACACCCTATCTGACATATTTGCTTCCAGAATATTAAACCTGGATATATTACACATGAACTTGATTTAAATTGATTACCTCCTCCTGTTTTTATTGAAAATCAAGTATCAACAAGTGCCTTGTAGGATATATGATGGTTTAATGATTCTCATGCACAAGTGTGTATACCTTCTCTATGTACAAGTTTTTCCATGCCCTACATTTAATTCTTTTATAACAACAGCCTTCACAATAACAATAGCTATGGAGTAAATAACTGCACCATAAGCTGCAGCATGTACCACACAAAGTAGCAATATAAACAACACAACTGTGTAAAGACAACATCACTGTTGTGGTGCAATGTGCAGGTGTCTGCATGGAGACGTCCCACTGTGTCTGCAGGTCCATAAAAAGTCCAGCTGTCTAAATTTTGTTTTGGTGTATTAGATTTTGACGACTTTTTTTTTTTTTCACATTTTCCTTAAATTGAATGTATGTTTCAGTCTTAAATGTCTTTTGAAAAAAAAAAGCACTTGCTCAAACTTTTGCTGCGTCCACAGTTTTAATGTCTCAATCCCTGCTTTTTCTGCGCGTGTCCCTGCCGGACTTCAGCTCCATCAGCTCTACTTCATGCTTCGCCGCAGTCTCCAACACTTTCTGCTTATTGTAGTAGACCACAAAGTTATTTATGATCGGGTGGATGGGCAAGGCGATGGCTATCACCCCACACAGAAAGCTCACGGCTGCGTTGCACTTGCCGAGCGTGGTTTTGGGGTAGATGTCTCCATAGCCCACCGTGGTCATGGTGATGATGGCCCACCAGAAAGACTGCGGGATGCTCCTGAAAAGGGTCTCTGGATGGCTTTGCTCCATGGTGTAGGCCAGCGCCGAGAACACAAAGATTCCCACGCCCATGTACATGAGGAGCAGCCCCAGCTCTTTGAGGCTCCTCTTGAGCGCGTAGGTCAGAGTCTGCAGCCCGGAGGAGTGGCGCGCCAGCTTGAAAATACGCGCGATACGCATGATGCGGAGAGCCTGGACAGCCTGTTGGACGTTAGCCAGCTCCATCATGGATGTGGTGCCCAGGTAGGTGAGGGACATGACTACGTAAAAAGGAATTATGGCCATAAAGTCTATGACGTTCATGATGGAGAGCGCAAAGCGCAGCTTGTTCGGAGAGGAGGCGAGACGAAGTAAGTACTCCGCTGTGAACCATGACATGCAGACGGTCTCGATCGCTTCTAGGATCGGGTGCTCGACCAGTTTTCCATTGGTATCCGTCACCTGGAGCTCCGGGATGGTCCCTATGCACATCACCACCGCCGATACCAGGATAGAGAGGAAGGATGCGATGGCAATGACGCGCGCCGGCCGGGAGGAACCCGGCTTCTCCATCAGTCTCCACAGGAACCTCTGGCACCGCTGGGTGCGCGTAATGCACTGATCCACCTCCAGATCCTCAAGGATAACTTTCACCTTGTTTGCAATCTCTTTCAGCTCCTCCTCCTTCTCACTTAGGTAACTTTTACAGCATTCATCTAAAACACTTTGGTCTATTTTCCAGAACTCCATCTCCTTGATGAAACAGACGGGGCAAATGCCGCGTTTGATGTGGATTTCATCAAAGTAGTAAACGTCGATGATGCACTTGAAGGCATCAGGATCTCGGTCAAAATAAAACTCTTTTCTGCCCGGATCGAAGTCGTCGCAAAGGGACGAGATAACTTCATAATTCTGAGCTGAGCAGTTCAACAACTCCGCAAGTCTGCTCTCCGGGTAGCGGTTCAAAACATCCCCGAAAAGCACCACTCGGACTCCGCCAATGTTCACTGCAATCTCCCCCTCTGCGCATAAACCACTTCTATATTTTGGCTTCGGAATTGTCCACATTTTACTAAATGTTTGACTGAATGAATATGTATCCTGCAATGTAAAAGTAAAGCGTACTAACCAGAATCAAAGTCCATTATTTCGGCGCGTAAATGATCCTCTCCAGGCTGTTTTCATGCACTGAACGGCACAGCTTGAGCGGCCAGCTTTTCCTAACACCTCTCTCTCTCTCTCTCTCTCTCTCTCTCTCTCTCTCTCTCTCTCTCTCTCTCTCTCTCTCTCTCTCACACACACACACACACACACACACACACTCAAGCGGACTGGAGGGAACAAACGGAACATCCACTAGCAGATATCTGTTTCAGGGGATGCAATACTTGTTTGGTTGTAAAGACCATTCAATTCAAAAGACCAGTCAATAATTAAAAGAGCAACATTAATCAGCTACACATTATAATATAATAAAGACAACATCTAACTCAGTTCCACCAGTGTTAATTTCCCTATTTTCCTATTCAAATTCAGAAGGTAAATGCCACATGTTTGCATGGATTACTTTACCCTGCAATCTTCCAACATGATCGGTCAGTTATCATTTAGGATAGTAGAGACAATCACTGTGAAAATATATGCTGCACAGAACAAGGATAGCACCCTCTTGTTAGAGCCTAATGTATAGCATGCATTTTTTCTCACTTTCAGTCTTCAGTTCCAACTGACACTGACACCAGTGACATCACCTGAGGCAATTTATCAGATTTCAGAGAGAGTCACATATGCACCAAGACTTGTAAACATACTCTGATGTGTTAAATTGGTGAAGTTCCCCTTAGCCCCACCATGACTACCTACAACAGTGAAATTCTACTTACACACTGATTTGTCAGAATTAACAATTTATTATTAATAATATCACAGGGGCCATTTTACTGCACAACACTTGCTTTTACTTTGATACTTTAAGTACATTTAGCTGATAATAGTGGTGGTTTATTTGGCGACAGTGAGTGCAGGAATAACGCACTTCACTGTTAAAACTACTATATAGACTGAATGTAAATGCACTGAATGACTATTGCTGAAAAACGAATATTATAAAATATGTGGTCTGATTTCATGAAAATCTTAAGGAATATAACTTTAAGTAGGATTTTGATTGCAGTACTGTTACTTGTAATGGAGTATTCTTACGTTGTGGTCATTGTGGTATTGGTACTACTAGGATCTGAGAACTTCCACCACTGATAGCATTACATTTAAAAACATACTGATCAAACATGAGCTTAAAGACAAGTGATATTTATACAGAGTCATGATATGTTGTCTCTACACAATATACTGAATAATGCACTGATAAATGTACTGGACTTTTGTGTTGAATAATGTGCAACCGTGCATGAAGAAAGACACTTCATCACACTAAAATGGCTTTAGGATTTCTAAGAAGAATGTGCTCACTTAAAATGCTTGAAACTGTACACCTACATTAACATTTACAGTACACATTCTTTCAAAAGAAAACACTGAACAACATTTTTTAGATATTAAACATATTTAAATGGTTCCGCAGTTCCATGTGCAGCTGGTATTGAGTGGTGAAAAGGGCCCCAATCCGTCTACTGCTGTCCAAGGGAAACTGGGCAGTTATGTCTGGCTCACAAGAAATGTGGAAAACCAATATATTCAAGGATATATATCACTGGATATGTTTTATTTTAGAGTCAGGGGTCTTTATGTTCCTGGCTCTGAGTGGTGTCCACCACATGAGCGTCAGGGCCCTCGTAGCTTGGTCACCGAGCAGGTCTTCTTTTTGCTGACTGCTAGCTGATCTCCAGCACATTGGTGTTGATGTGGAAGCAGATGTAGGAGCAGTACTCTTGCTGAATGAGTCCTGGGATGTCACAGCTTACCTGCACAGAAACACTGTGTTGGCTTATAGGTAGTTGTGGAAAACATATTATGTGTTGTGTTCACAGTTTATTGAGCTGCCCCCAAGTGGCAAAAAAATATAAAGTCACGTAAATTTAAACTTGCTGTTTGGAGTTAGCTGCGTGTGCATCATTGTGCAAGTAAAAAGAACTGCTAATCAGTGCTACTACAGAGTATCTTTCGGTAAAAGTGTAGAAGTATTATCAGCAAAAGTATCAAAAGTAAAAATAGTCATTATGCAGCTGAATTGCCCCTGTCCGTGTTATACTATTACTTACTATAACAACAACAATACTTTAAATTAGGTTATTTAAGAATTGTGACCAAGATGTACAGTAAAAATAACTTGTCAGTGCTCTCTGCTGCACTGACAAGTGCAGCTACCTCAAACTTCCTCAAACATACTGTATCTTGGTTATTTCTATGCTGCAGGTTCCTGTTACTTACTTATTGGCTGACATACTGATATGCTGACAGGGACAAATCTGCAATAGGGCAAAATTGATCTATAATATTGGCCCAGTCACTTTGGTGGAGAATATTTAATGTTTAGTAAAATATTTGCCTCTTGGATGTGCTTAAGTTACGAAGAGGGACAAAGTCACTCAGAATTCTACTTTAAAGTGCAGTACTTGTGTTAATGAGGTTAGTTTTTTTACTCGAATGGCTACAGGTTGATGCCCTGTTCTGCCATTTTAATCCACGTTAATTGTGAGTAGAAAAACTTTAAGAATTTCGTGTACTTAAAAATTAAACTGCATTATTACTTTAATTGGGACTGACTCATGGTGTCATCATGTGTCTGATGTGTCAGGTCAACTGAGTCAGCTTTATTTGCTGATGAAATCTGAGATGTGTTTGAAAGCTCCAGAAACAGCTAATAAGTGGACTTAGAGTTGAGATTGTTTTATCACACATACAGATCCAGAGGTAACAAGTAAACAAGCATACTCAGGAATTTTTATGTTTGTGTAGTCGTGCCTCTTCAGCGCGAGATGAAACACAAATGTAACAATGACAAAATTATGAGCAACGTTTGAGGCAGTGCAAGTGGATTTGGCCTCTTACATCTGTCTTGCTGGCAGTGGCAGTGGGGTCCAGATGCATGAACAGCGAGGCGAGTTCTGCTCTCAGTTTCTTTGAACGCTTCTTGTCCGTCTGCAGCAGAAGAGCCTGATAGTTCATCGGTAATCCATACCTGGCAGGGGACATCATTAAGAGTCTCCTCACACACAGAGGTCAAAGGAAAATGCAACAACGTGCCATTTCATATTAATGTTGAGAGAAAACGAGGAAATTACTTCTGTCATCAGCACTGACCTGAGGACTGATTCCACAAACACCCTCAGCGCTTTCAGGTGAATCCAAGCAACAAACACCCCACTGAAATTCACCTTCAGCCAACGCACAAAGACTCCCTGGGGAGAGGCATGCTCATTTATAATATACTACAACACACACACAAATCCAAATGCTCTATAGAAAGCATTCATGATGTTTGACTCACATTTTGTTCCTTCTTGTGAACACTCAGCTGCTTCATCTCCTGCTGCTTCTTGTCCTCCAGCTCAAAGTGGTACTCACGTACGATGAACCTGTGTGGATCATAGGCTACACTATGGTAATTGACACCGACAACACAGCTTTGACTTGAGAGTGTTTTTACTGCCTATCCGTCCTGCTTACTTGCTCTCCTGGGCTTTGGCTTTGAATTCACACACAGCTCTTTTGAAAAGTGTAACTGAGAAAATGCCTCCCTCTCCATCCTCGTAGAGCTTCCTGATGTTCACACAGGACAGAGCGACACGTGTCAACATGCAGCAACAGGTCAAGATGGAAGACAACAAAGAGAAAATAAAGTGAAAGCTGGGTGAGACTGAAGTAGCCTACTGTAATACTGCGATGTGATGGTGCACTAGATATGAGGCTTAAATGGTTTCCAGTATACAGTATCTCACAAAAGTGAGTACGCCCCTCATATCTTTGCAAATATTTGATTATATATTTTCATGTGACAACACTGAAGAAATGTCTTTGCTACAATGTAAAGTAGTGAGTGTACAGCTTGTATAACAGTGTAAATTTGCTGTCCCCTCAAAATAACACATCGTCTAAACCACTGGCAACAAGTGAGTAGACACTTAGACCCCTAAGTGAAAATGTCCAAATTGGGCCCAAAGTGTCAATATCTTGTGTGGCCACCATTATTTTCCAGCACTGCCTTAACCCTCTTGGGCATGGAGTTCACCAGAGCTTCACAGGTTGCCACTGGAGTCCTCTTCCACTCCTCCATGACGACATCACGGAGCTGGTGGATGTTAGAGACTTTGTGCTTCTCCACCTTCAGTTTGAGGACGCCCCACAGACGCTCAATAGGGTTTAGGTCTGGAGACATGCTTGGCCAGTCCATCACCTTTACCCTCAGCTTCTTTAGCAAAGCAGTGGTCATCCTGGAGGTGTGTTTGGGGTCGTTATCATGTTGGAATACAGCCCTGCGGCCCAGTCTCTGAAGGGAGGGGATCACGTTCTCCTTCAGTATGTCACAGTACATGTTGGCATTCATGGTTCCCTCAATGACCTGTAGCTCCCCAGTGCCGGCAGCACTCACGCAGCCCCAGACCAGGACACTCCCACCACCATGCTTGACTGTAGGCAAGACACACATGCTTGACACCATCTGAACCAATAAGGTTATCGTGGTCTCATCAGACCACAGGACATGGTTCTAGTAATCCATGTCCTTAGCCTGCTTGTCTTTGACCAATTTGATGCAGTGTGCACCTATGGTCTGAAAACCGACAGGCTGACCCCCCCACCCCTTCAACCTCTGCAGCAGTGCTTGCAGCACTCATACGTCTATTTTCCAAAGACAACCTCTGGATATGAAGCATGTGCACTCTATTTCTTTGGTCGACCGTGGCGAGGCCTGTTCTGAGTGGAACCTGTCCTGTTGAACCGCTGTATGGTCTTGGCCATCGTGCTGCAGCTCAGTTTTAAGGTCTTGGCAATCTTTTTATAGCCTAGACCATCTTTATGTAGAGCAACCTTTCTTTTTTTTAGATCCTCAGAGTACTTTGCCATGAGGTGCCATGTTGAACTTTCAGTGACCAGTATGAGGGAGTGTGAGAGCGATAACAAATTAAACTAATTTAACACACCTGCTTGTAACACTAACGAGTCAAACTAACAAGGAAAATGGCTAATTGGGCCCAGTTTGGACATTTTCACTTAGGGGTGTACTCACTTTTGTATTTCGTCTTCTGAGGTTTGTCTATGTTTGGATTTAATTTTAGTTTTCTAGACTTATTATTTCCAAACAGGCCAGCATCAGCTTTCAAAGATCCATATTAACCATTATTCTTATATTCAGTGACACCCAGCGGCGTCACACAAAAGTGTGGGCCCTATACATAAGCAGCCTCTTTGGGCCCTTTTCTCTCTTGGTCCCTGTCTCATGCATCTTTTGAGATAAACTAAAACGAATCTAAACGATCTCCGTCCACATCAGCGTTTCAGCTGCGTATCAGAATCTCCATCTATATTAAAAAACAGTTCCAAAAGATCTGGCAAAAGTACTACTGCAGACAAAGAACTTAACCAGAGATTCTTTTGCATGGACCAACAACGAGGTGGAACTCTTACTGAAAGTAATACGGGAGTACAAAGAGACTGTGGCGGCGGGAAAACAGACTGAGAATCATCGTAAAGTAAATACAGCAAAATGCACAGTAAGTGTATAAGTGTTATTTGCAAAGTACAAGATATTTTAATAAAACTAAAACATGGTCAGTAGCATTGTGTTTTTGTTTTGCATGACTTATAAGACCCAATAAGGAAGCCAGATGTGGGGGTCTGCGTCATTGTTTTTAAAGTCCTCCGTTTTCGCCTGTCCTCACTAAAACACTACCCCGGAGTTTTAAAATCTTTACGGGGTCGGCAGCGTTTTCAAACTTCCCTATCTTAGGTCTTTGGATTTGCTGTTTTAGTCTGGACAGGAGGTGCAGACATAGCATAAAGTTTGCGTATAAGAAAAAAAATACCATCTTAGTTGTCCATTGAGAAAATGCTTACTATACTGCATAATAAAAGACAACTGAAAAATTACATACAGCCATTACGGCCATTTAATCTCTCTTTGTCTCCCTGACCACAGTGTAAGTTATTGGTTCAAAGGTAAGTGGGCCTAAAAGCAAAGTAATTAAAACTTTAGAAAGTTTAATTTAAGCTGCTGATAATAATTAATGTTCTAGCCTACAATGCAAGATGCTTCAAGCTAGATTCCTCACTGACTGCCTTCAATCTAAACTGCTGATATTAACTTAAAGGTTCAGTATGTAATATTTAAGAGGATCTATTGACAGAAACGCAATAAAATATACTTAACTATGTTTTCAGTGGTGTATAAAGACCTTACATAATGAACCGTTAGGGGTTTTTTACCTTAGAATGAGCCATTTCTATCTACATACACCGCGGGTCCTCTAAAATGGATGTTATGTTGCGCCGCCATGTTTCTACAGGACTGTCACAAGGCATGTTGCTCCACCATCAGCCGTAGTATCCTAGTGCAGGGTGGACTAAACCATTTACATCTTTTGTAAGGGGTGAGAGAGGCCTAAGAGCCTAAGTTCAGTCTCCAATTCATTCAGCCAATTTTAATCTAGTTATGACACTACTTGCTTAGAAATAAAACATTTCAAACAAAAACAAACATTTTATTCCAGGCTTTTTGATGGCCCTTCTCCGATTGGGGCCCTGGGTAATCAGTCCCACTTTTCCTCCCACTACCACACCCTTGCTAACACCAACCGGTATTTCCTTTCAACCAAAACAGATGCAGATGATCTGTTGCTGAAAGCAGGGACTCTTTCAACTCTGTGTAGTTGAAAGTTTGAAAACAAACATCCTTGACAAATTTAGACAGCACTTTTTAGTTCTTTATTGAATACATCTCTTCTCTGGAAATAAACGTTTCCTCCCATGCTACTGATCCAAGCCACACGGACTCTTACTTTCTGCCAGTAATTGAACACCTGTTAACCATAGCCTGACCTTTTGGATGCTGAGAGCAGGCACTCAGAGCTTTGCCGGTGCACTTGTACTTGGATCAAGTAGAATGACTCGTCTTACAGCCAAGCCTGCATAGGCAGCTCACCTGCTGGACCGTGGAACCACGAACTCTGACAAAGATTCATAGGTCCCCTCCCACAGCAAGTAGCTCCCTCTGTGACCAAAAACACAGAATGTGCAGAGACACATTTACAAAACAACACATGAATATCCACACACAAACACTTCTACACTAAAATAAAGGTAGAATAACTTAAAATGTAAATGTGTCACCCACCTGGTCACTACTACCAGCAGAGTGGTGAGGTACTCTGAGACCACCAGGTCTTCCTTCCTCACTATACCATTCAGACTGCAAGTTTGCAAAGTCCCACTGGAAAGACAGACATTCCAGTTCAATATTTGAAGGTTAATAGAATGATGTATTTGTAATTTCATGTATCTCAAGTCACTCACTCTAGTTTGTGCTCAAGGCTTTGCAAGCTCATTTTCACACTGTTGAACGCCGCAGCTCGGGATTTTAATTCCGTCTCCATCTGGGAAACTTCCTGACACACATGCATGTATTAAAAGCCCATGTAAGCATCAGGAGTACATGTGGTAACCTCAGCGAGATAAGAACTCATTGAATATCTTTAATAACATGTAATGATATGATGACTGTATATATGCTGCTTAAATGCAATAACAAAGATATATTGCAAAAAGTAATTGATTTTGAGTTCAATTCGTCAAAAAACGTTGGAATAACATGTTGCAAAGACCTGCTTTTAGTTTAATTTACTAGTCATGGTTAGTACCCAGATGTCATCTCAACTTGTGCTTAGAGACAAAACATTCATAACTGAATCTGAAGGATTCTGTAACTAAATGGTATCCCTCAGAAATAGGTCACAATACTGAAGCATTTCACTGCGACTTTCACTGTCTCCCATCTTCACCAAAATGCAATAATAAATTGCTGGAGTACCCCTTAAAGGTGATTATGACTGTAATAAATATATTTAAGTGCCCCCATATGATCCTCATATTCATTAGTTTGTACCTTGTTGATGATTTCTGCCAAGCTGGAGAGAGGCAGAGCTGTGGGATACTTGGCTTTGTCCCACTGAAACCTGGTCACGTAGGTCATCAGGTCCACTGAGAAACATGCACAAGAAGTCATAACCTAACTAGAAACCAAAAACTGTAAAACTGTAAACCTCACACAGTGGAATAGGAGTGTCATTCCAAAAAACACAGGGGAAAAAGCGCCGTAAAATGCACACTTTATATAGGGTGGCACACAGCATTGCACTCCAGCTCAAAGAGCAAATTGCCAGCAGATAAAATACCCCTCAGAGACTTGAGGTAAGCTTTCAGGGGTGACAGGACGGCTCTCTGATTCATGCCGTGGTCTGATGGGGGGAAAGTGATCAGAGACAATGGTTAGCCTGGTTTGTGTTGTGCAGTTGTTGATCTGTCCTACCGCCTCAATGCCGAACGCTAATACAAAGTGAAGGGATCAGTTTGTGTTATCTCTCAGTGTGTGTGCTGGAGCGGATGTTTCTGTGCATAATGTACATGCAGAAGTCAGTTTAAGTAGCATTTAGTCTCATTTGCAATGTGCATGTTGCCTGCGGCTTCTTTGCACTTACTTAATGAGTTTCTATCTAGGATGTAATCAACACCCTCAGTATGTATATGTGTGTGTTTGTGTGTTACCTCCATTGGCTAAGGCGTTTTCCAGCACTTTGTCACCGGACTGCTCCATCACCTCCCTCATACACTGACATGTTTTTTTAATCACACTGGCCAGGCAACAGGAAAAATATAATTAATAAAGAGGTCCTTTACTTTGTTTATTCATGTATTTTATATAATATTTATTTAGTTACAATTTAAATCATTTATTGCCTCCTTTCCTGGAAATCTCTTTTCTCTGAATTATTTTGTTATTGATACTGAGGCTCACAATGAACTATTAATGTCCAACAAGGGTTTTATTTATCCAAGTAAAGAACTCTTTCAGAAAACAACAGATCTAACTTAATAAACACGAGTCTGGATTAAATTACGAGTCAAAATCTGTCTGGTTTGATCTACGTAGGCCACATTTTGAGGTTGCAAATAGGCTTTAACATCCACATCAGCTCTGATGCACCAACAATGAATTTAAAATCAGGAGGAAAACTAACCGTCAGCTGTCCCTGAGCATCAATTAATCATGGCACAGACCATACACAAGCTCACAGTTACAAGTCTTAATTAATGACAAAGCTGCACATTAAGCTACAAATGTTCTATGACCATTGAGACAAACAGGTTTGGTGTGCATCAGCAGAGCATGGGAAACATAGTTTGGTTCATAATTCTTGGATATTTTTTACCTTTCAGTCAGTGTGTCGAGCTTGGAGAGGTCATCTGACACGCTGAGCAGACTGTCCAGTATTCCCACCTGAGGTCATAGCAAAGACAGCACAGTTAATGTTACTGGGGCTGATGTATTGTTGATTTGACATCACAGGGAGGTCAAATCACCATACACAAGCAACAGTTCTGCACGCAGAACAACTTGTGAACTTACTTTAATGTGATGCCCACATATCACATTTACTATGACATTTAAAGGCTTTTCATGTTTGAGCTCTTGATAGGCTTGAAAAACTGCTGTTAAAATGCGATTCCTTGCAGCCAAGGTGAACATTGGTCACGTTGAGTGAAATGGGTCAGATGGAAATTTTGCCTCAAACTGTAGAGAGCAACCTGAGCCTATATCCCTTCACCAGAGAAGGACACCAAACACCATCACCCTCCTCAGCTATACTCTACTGTACTGGTATAAACACAGAACTAACATACACATACAATTCTTCTTGCTCCCTGTTTTTGACAATGCTCTTCTCACAGATCAAGAAAGGAGACTCTTCCATATCTGGTCCTTGTGTGTGCATATGTATTACTCTGTAAACTTTACTTGGCTCCCTTAGGCTCTTCATTAGGACAGATGATACACAGCCTCACCTTGAGATCTGGAATTGAGAACTTGCAGCAGGAGGCCAGGTTGGTTTTGGCAATGGTGTGCTTGAGTTTCTCTACACTGGTTAAACTGGTCTTGTCCAGGGGGACAGAAATCAACCAGAAGTCTGTCATGGCTCCCGGGGCTTCACATAGATACCTCCAGTCAAACTCGTCCCCACAAGAACAGGCTTTGGCACCAAATAGACTGTGACTCAGAGCAAACAAACACTAGAAAGACGAACTCTCTATCATCAAACGCATAAACTGGCTCTTATGCTAAGCTGACTTATATAAATTATACATAATTTATTTATATGTTAATATAAATTACGTTGAAAGGTTTTAAAACTGTTTATATTTCTTTATTTCTGTTCCCATGATTACATTAGGGTTTTTTTCCTTGGTTATGCTTACATAAAGTCAAATACAATAAACAAAATAATGAAAAGAAATAACAAAGCAGGGACTCTTACCGTCAAGTTATCTTCATGACTGTCCTGTGGCAGTCCCACTGAGTGTTGGGAACATCTGAGCAGCAGCTCAACCTGAGAGGCTTGTTGGAGATGAACTGCGCCTCGCCTCAAAAGTGGATGAGATCAGGCGGCAGCAGCAGGGGGCGGTGACAAAAAGCAGCAAGTAGGACATTTTCCACCAGCTTTCAAAGAATACACAGGAAGTCACAGAAATATTTACATCCTGTTGGATCCATCTGTAGGCTACCTGTAGTTTGCAGACCATGTTCGGATAGCTACGGCTGAATGTGTGTATGTGTTCTTGATTGCTGCAAATGTCTAATAAATAACAAATTGGCCTTTATCAGAACTAAACTAAGACAAACTTTGTACCAATTCGAAGATGATACATTTTAGGTCCATGTTTTTGAGATCATTCAAAGTGGATTTTTCCAAAACAATACATCTACTTTTTGCAGTGGTCTAAGTTTTTCTTTCATAACTTTTTATTTGTTCAATGCCACAATTATAATTGAGGAGAGAATCAGGGAGAGATTGGGCAGATTTTAGCCCTTGGAAGTCAAAATTATTGAATAGCATAGCCTACATAGAAATTTGATGTAAGGACACATTTAAAAATCATACAATCCTAAATTTAAGAAACTGAACTACTTTAACAGTCCAGACATTCTCATAGCTACGTATACAGGCTAAACATGTGGAGTTTGGTGTCAAAACTAAGCAAGTATATGGAAAGCCAAGCAGTTCAAAAATATGATTTGATTTTTGACAAGGCAACAACATGTTATCAACACGTTATCAACACATTAACAACGTGTGATTTCAGATATCAATTTCACATAATTCTGAGCTATTTGGCCACTTGTCCAGTTTGAACAAGTGAGTGTCATAAATTCCCATTGGCTGCTAAGCACAAGGGTTGAACCATTTCTGTGAGGTAAGGGGGTTGCCTACCACTATTTAACATGCAAAATATCCTCTTATATCTTGTCATTTTTCTTCCTTTTTTGTTTAACAAATATTTGGAATGCAGTTTTACGACTTAAATGATTTTTATTAAGATAAAATCCCTCCTTTTGTTTCATTACTGCCTTTTTTGATAAAAAAACAAAACAAAACATTATTCATGAAAAACATTATTGGACATTCTAGCTTTAACACCATTCACCAAACTTCCATCATTAAAAACATTACTAATAGTGTGGGGAGAAAGTTACAGCAGTGGGACTCATCAGTGGTGGATTAGGATACACACCATTGTAATGTACATCTGTGTTTGGAAAACAACATTTTCAACGTTTACAACGTTTAATCTAGGGCTATGACCAGCTGGTGGCATACTAGACTATCCTCTTAATCCTGATGTAATGGTAAAATTGTGACAACAAGAATGTACAGATTTGAACTGGGCGCTTGGGACGGCACCCACAATTCTAAATGTGTGTTAAGCAGCATTTTCTTCAGGTAGCGACTTTCCTACAGCTGTATTTGGAGTTTCAGCGCTCTAATTTGCATAACCGCTACAATCCACTGACTCTATGGCACGTTACGGCTGCCGGAGCTAATTGCGGCAATTATAGTCAATGCTTGTGAGTCCACCAAACGCACCAGAATCGGCCCAGAAGTGGCTCTCTGCTTCGCTCTGCAGAAAATAGCAGGTCTATTTTTACTAATAGCTGCATCAAGCAGCACAGTGCAGATCAAACCAGGCAGGAAGTCAGACACAGAACGGCATAGAGAATCCGGTCGATTTTCAAAATAAAACACCCTGTGGAAACTCACAATTGTAAAACAACAAATAACACAGGTAAAACAGACACAAAAAGAAATAATTTAACTACGTAGCCTACAGTAGGAGCACAAAAAGCAAGCACTAATCACAAAATCAACAAAATCTAAACATGTCAGCAAAATCAGGCAGGGAAAAATGCTCTGATTCTGAAATGCTCCTTATGGGAAATGCAGCCTGAAGTTGACAGAACAAAACGGGGTCACATAGAGCTGTGAAGAAGGTAGCAGAAACACAAAAAGGACAAATTAATAACAAGTAAATAATGTGGGGCAGGCTGCACGCTCCGCTGCAGAAACGCTTCTGAGACTCCTCCAGTGTGCTTTGACGCCGGCGCAGCCGTAACGTGCCATAGCCGGAGTCAGTGGATTCCTGGCATAACAATTAACAAAAGTTATTACCACAACAACCAATTGTTTCTTGTGTATTAAAACTTTTTATGCAGTTAAGAGAAACTTCACAAATATTGAACAGATGCTGTATAATGGCTAAGACTGTAGCCATCAGCAGCCAACAAACCGAATAAAACTACTGGATTAGTGCATTATTTTATTCTCAAACTGCATGGAAGAAAAGGAAGCCATTATGTAATACAAATGTAAACTTAGGTCAACCAACCACCAAAATTAAAAACATCAACTTGGAAGTTTCTATCACCAACACACTTTGTAGCCTACCCAAAACTCAAAAATTATTTTTGGCACCCAACGATAGGTGTGCTACATAACACACAAAAGTTAGAGACTGGGGGACTTGAATATTTTTTTGAACATTCGGTATTCATAATCCAAGTTCCAAGTCAGAAATATCATCTAGCCTTCCTCACTAACCCCACCCTCAAAATCCAAAATGGCTACTCCCAGAATCAACAGTAGTGAAAGCTGTAGTAATATACTGTTTATACTCTTATTTGTGTCTCATTAAACCAGTCAGTATATGTTGACATGTTGCTACATTGTTTGTATGTGCAAAATACCATGTAATGCGTTGTTATTAACGGCTGACAATGGCCAGAGGCATCAATCTTGGTTTCCCAACTTTAAATCTGTTGTTGTACTGAAACGCTGTCAACTCAGTGACACATCACTCTCAGCGCCGACATCCCACGTAAATAGCAGAAATTACAACTAAAGCCCACTCCTGCCTCTTCGCGGTGTCTGCCGGTTTGGGTAAATAATATTAAATAAATTAATCCAGGAAGTTATCTCAGGGAGCCTGTTGTGTAGCCTCCTAGACTGCAGACAGACCCGTCTCTCATCTTGTTATACTCCTTATAAAGAATCTTTGATTGATTCTTCGCAGGCCCGCTTATCTTGAACCAGCCAATTGAATGGACAGCAGTCCACATCACGTGACTTGAGCAAGTCACAGGTTGACTTTAAATTTGCAGCTTTGCTGTTGCTGGTTGCACTCCATGTTCCTTTAAGCTACAAAATAATTTTACGTGCTGTTTTTGGATTTTTCTATACTTTTGAACATGTATGCATTGATTCGTTATTTGGAGAGAACGTTATGAACCATTGCTGTAATGCCAAATACAACAGTGACTTTACATAACTTTATTTTAGTATGTATGTTAGGTGTGGCCTTGACAATTGTCTTAATATCATTATCAAACATTTATGTCAAGCGAATCAATTGATATTTTGTTTGAAAGAAATAAGACAGAAACATCTCTAGTTAAAGAAACACAGCATATTGTCAGCTATAGCGACGTTATAGAGGTCACAGTTAACGTTATAGATAAAAGCAATTTAACGAATTTGTGTAACATGAAAATATACTTTTTGTTGCGGTTTATCAATTGTATCAAAAAATATATTTATATAGTTGTTTAAACCCAGAATTACGTTGGAGAGCAGCGGCACTGTGTTCAGTCATTGTAGTTTCTACTCGGGCCCATTTCGGGAAGCTCACCCCCTCTTCCTGTTTTTGCTCCGAAGCAACAACGTGGATTGTGTGCAGTTTACCGGTGTAGTAACAGGGTTATGTTTGACCAGAGTCTTGTTCATTTTCTACAATGCAGATATCTAGTGTGAACGATGTTAAGATTTACAATTTAAGTCATGGAAAGTCCCTTCCAGAGGTAAGAAGCATTACTTTCCCTGAAAGCGTAACGTTAGTTACTTAACTTGAATCTAGTAGATTAGCGAACACAGCTAAGTTAGCCGGGACAAGAGTAACGTTAGTCCTGACGTTATGTGTTGAGACAATGTTGATGCCAAAATCTATTCAATAACATGTCAGTAATTGCTGTACAAAATCCTAATCACTTCTACCTCTTTAATGCAGTGGCTGTCAGATCGGAAGAAGAGACAGTTACAAAAGAAAGATGTTGGTGAGTTGACCGCTACAATGTCAGCATGACTGACCGGTTAATTGTCTGTTAAGTGTGTGTCGTTATTCTGACTTGTCTATTATTTTTTTTTTTTTTTACTAGACATCCAGCGTAGGATTGAGCTCATCCAGGACTTTGAGATGCCCACAGTGTGCACCTCTATCAAAGTATCGAGGGATGGGCAGTTCATCCTGGCAGCAGGTAAGACAAGCTGTGGATAGTGTTTTGTAGCAAACCTTCATTAAATGTTATCTCTTAATGTGGACTATTTGTAGAGTTAGTCATTTCTCTGGGTATTCAGGGAAAGTGCATTAATTCCTCCTATAGAAAAGTTGGATTCTTGGCTTTTTATAAAATATCTTCCCTTTGAAATTGCCTGACAAGTTCACTTACGTGGGCTTGTCTATTCCTGTAAATCCTAAGCCCTTATTTAAATAAATGTTTTGTATTTAGTCAGACAAACTTAAGAAATATATTGATTTTCGTAGGCCTTTGCCACTTTCTCTTATAGGGCAGGCAAATGCGATTAAATTGTGTTGCTCCTCAGGTTTATATTTGTATCAAAATATTCCAATTTAGCTTTTGTTGTAATTCTTTAAAAAACTGGATTCAATAATAATGCCATTTGTTTGGGGGTATAAACCCCATCATATCTGAAAGACTCGCATACAAAAATCTAAGAAACTTGGGGGTTTGTCCCTTTCTGTGTTCCAACACAAAGGCAAGATTAGTCAAACAAGTGAGCTCGTTGATACACCCAAGTGGCTTCACTTGGACTCTCATGCTGCAAAAAAAACAGTTCTCTTTCAGCTCTTCTGTTTTCCACTACCGATTCTGCATTACATCTGATGGAAGATTCAGTGAAAAAGTTTAAATAAATTTGTTCCATCCCAATCTGACCAAGTCTTTATTTACTGCAGGAATAAAGGTCTGGACCATCGCAGACTTGTACATTAATAATCACTTTTTTGGAGCTGAAAGCAACGTTCTCCCTTCCTCCACTTTCTTGTTATTTACAAATCAGACATTTGGCTTAAAATATTTAAACGCTTTGACAACCTGCCGAAGGAACATTCTTTTTTTGCTTTAATGAAACAACGTCCTGATTCTAGGCATCTTGTTTCAAAGTTTTTCTGGGAGCCAGATCTTGGCGTGGAGGGAGAGGATCCATTTAGGTTCAGTTAATGCCAGGTCGATTCAGTCATCCATAAATGACATTATTCTAAAGACAAGATTAACAAAATGTATCCTGATGTTTCTGATATTTGTGCCAGAAGTAGTCTCTATAAACATATCTTCTGCAAATCTGTAGGCAAGGGACACGATTTTGGTATTATAAGTTTCCTGGTTTTTGTTTGTAGTCCCACTTTTTATCTCTTTTGAGCTGGCTTTGGTTGCATGCAAGCAGAGAAAGTTCAGGAAGGAGACGGTGCAGTTAGTCATTTCCAGTATCTGCGTCACATGGGTTTTGCCACTGACCCTTGCAGCAGGTCCTGGGTCGATTTATTTCAATGGGAGAGCTGAAAATGAGCACAGATTCTGACCGATTCTTTCAACCCCATAGTCATTTTTCACAAGCCACATATGTCCCGAACATTCTGACACTTAAATGGCATTTTCAGACAGACAAATCAGGGGAAAATGTACTTTGTTCAAGACCTGTCTCTGTCTCAGCAGCACACTCTTGTGAGATCTGGCATCAGAGATCTCTGTGTCTCTGTTGGTGCTGAACCGTCAGTCTGGTTTCACTGCAGTGCTTCCAACATTGTTTTCCAACCGGATAGACAGATAATGTAAAGCGACTTATATGTGATACCATTATGAATCGTTGTTATTATTTAACTTGGGAGAAGTGACTGCGCACACTTGGGATACAGGTAGTATGTACCGTTTCATTCCATTTGTTATAGAGCATATTTGATGCAGGTGAACAGTCTGTGTAGAGAGCAAAAGAGACAGAACTCTTTGGCTGAAATGCAATCTCGGAACACATCTACTTGTCTGACGACAATTTAGCATTTTGTCAGTCTTGCAACTCTAAAGGTTAGGTTTTTATTCGCTTTTTAAAAATGAATCAGCATTCAGTTCACCGTCAGATGACAGCTGGTGGCTTCTGAGATTGCTAATTGGACTGTAATGAATGACCTGCCCATAGCAGAGGAAGCCTTGGCTACACTGGAGCTTGAAACATCGGCCCTTGCTGCCAGAGGCTAAATAATCATCAGATGACAGCCAGTGTGTTCTGAGATTGTGACAGATGTAACTCCTCAGAAGCTACTCTAGGTCTTACATTTTGTTTTGTTTTTCCTAAAATTGTCCTTTTTTAGCAGGATATCTTTATTTGGTGTTCTAAAGTACATTACAGGTCGAACCTGACGCACTAATTGCCCATTTGTTCCGAAGCTTCTCTTGCACTGCCACATGCTGTACAGCAGACTTTTGTGTTTGGTATGTTAGTAGCAGAGTAGTCTCAGGGATACATATTTAGAGGCTTTGAAGAACACACATGGTTTTCATGAGAAATTTGAAGTACCTGGGGCCCAACACCTTAACTTTACCTATAGTTAGCTGAAGCCCCTGCTGCGTGATATCCAGTTTGGCTATTCTTTGTGATATGCTTCATTTTTATTGAAAAGTTGATACAGGCTGAAACATTGTGGTGTTCTAGTGTGGCTTTTTGTGTTTCTTCTGGGGTGTGTTTGTAAGGCTGTTTTGTCAGTGTCAATTTCTTCTGTGACGAAAGTTAAATATAATTTTGTTTAATTTTTTAAGTCAGAATGACATCGGTTGTAAGTTAGAGCCTGCAAGAATGTTCAGGGGGGTCATCTTATTTTTGTGTATGTTTTGTATTTTCCTTTCATTTCAGGCACTTACAAACCCAGGATTCGCTGTTATGACACCTACCAGTTGTCCCTGAAGTTTGAGCGCTGTCTAGATTCAGATGGTAAGTCAGTTGACACACACACTTGTTGTATGGCATCCATGTCGTGATGACTAAATTTGATGAATTTCTTTTCTCTCTTTCAAAGTTGTGGCTTTTGACATCCTGTCTGATGACTACTCAAAGGTAAGACATTGGGAGCGCTCTTTTCCCCCGAGCACTGCTGCTGGAGTGTATGTGCTGTTGTGCATGCTCATGTTTTAATACCTTTGTGGTCTCTAAATGTATTCTATTCACTGGGATCCTTAGATGTACGTAAAGAGTAAGACGTAACAGTATTTGTTAAAAGTTTATTTTATTTTATGCCTTTGTAACTTCCTACAGTGGGAAACTAAATCAGTCAATATAGCCAAGGAAGACTGGTTCTTTACATTTCCACATTTTATGTCAGCTAGTACTCTTTTAAACAAAACTGCCAGCTTCGCCCACATATCTGTTAAAAATCACTTTAGAGGTGGTAAAAGTTATTTTTAGAGTCACACATTATCAGTTACACATACTAAAAAGAATATTTGTAGTATCTTCATAAACAGCACAACTGATTATGGTTTTAATGTGTTCATTACTGTAACAATGGTAATGCACCGGGCTCATTTGCTTTTAAATTGTGCATTTGCAGTTGGTGTTTTTGCACTGTGACCGCTACGTAGAGTTCCACTCCCAGCATGGACACTACTACAAGACTCGTATTCCAAAGTTTGGAAGGGACTTTTCTTACCACTACCCCTCCTGTGACCTCTATTTTGTGGGGACAAGGTGAGAGTATGTTTGAATTAAAAATGATGCACAGTTAGCATGTTTACAGATTTGTCCTGTACATGTGATTGGAATAAGCTGGTTAGGCAACATTTAGAGTTTTTATTTTAATTTTCAGTTCAGAGGTGTTCAGACTGAACCTGGAACAAGGGCGCTTCCTCAACTCACTTCAGACTGATGCTGTGTAAGTACAACAACGTGTTTTCCCTCACTGTTGTACGTGCGGTGATGCGTGGATGATCCAATAATAGTATGGGATTAACGCTGGATTTAAAATTGTTCTACCAGTAAAACTAGTTTTTTGCCCCAATCCAAGTCATTCAATATTCAAAATCTACTGATTCTGAGTCCCGATCTGAAACTTCTTGAACAGTGCACACTTCAAGGACTTTAAATTAAATTAATTGTCTCTCTCCTTTTAAAATTATCCTCCAGCAATTGAACTTACTGTATTCTGCTGGGCAGGGCTCTACGCTAACCTTTTTCCCAATGAGCACAATAAGAAATTTAAGAGCACAGCGACGCATGTTAAAGTTACACAGACTTTATTAACAAACATTTTATTATAATCATATGTATACTCTGTGCGTGTGCTTTTTCTCCTTGTGTGGAACTAAGATGTGAAAAACAGTGGTGGACTATGGAAGTGAAGACCCTTGGTATATGGACACTCGGCATGGGCCCAAAAATATTGTGAAAGCTTTTAAAACACACCAGTTTTTTTTTTAAAAGCTACTGTATAATAAATAGTTCCTTAAAATGCAACTGTAAAATACTAACTTCCTTAAAAATGTTACTGTACAGTATTGTAGTATATTCCACATAATGTTCTTAAGGTTATTTCTCAAGATATCAGTATATGTATAAATAATCTGGTTTACTACAGCAGTGTGAACCCAAAAAACATTTTGCTGTGGTTAAATTGCAATAAACAGATCAAAATGATGCCGAACCAACAAAATAACGCTGTTTGTTTAGCATATGAATTCATTCTTTGTCAGGCCTGTCCACAGGACGACAAGCAAACAACTATTAAAATGCTTGTTTTCTAAATGGCCTTTGGATCATTTAGGCCTGTCCTAAAACGTGTTTCACAGCAAAGCGATAGCAAACGATAGCTGGAATCAAGTTAACAGACACATAGTTTCAGAACTTACCAGGTAGTTGAGCTTCCTCGCTCATTTTTAATTCAGTTTAGTTACGGCCATCCCTAGCTAAAACCTATGGTGCAATCTGACATTAAGTGATACACTCGTTGCCATCATTGCCCTCAGCTGATGTTAATGATCCTTCTTTTTTTTGACTTCTTGACCAGGGAGAACAATGTGTGTGACATCAACCCCGTCCATCATTTGTTGGCCACAGGAACCTCTGAGGTAAGTGCCATAGCAGGCTGTGTGTGAAATGAGGCACCAGTTATTAGCAAGTGACATTGTGACACTGAGTGTGTGTGTGGCTGTTAATTGCTGAGTGCATTTTTGAGTATACTAAGACGTATACTGCACTAAATCTTTAATGTGTTTATAAAAATAAAAGCCCCTAATGAGGAGTAAAATATTTATTTTTGACCATGCAGTCTAGTTCAGTAATGCTGCTTCTACTACTTCCACAGAGATTCACTTTAAATGGATGTGTTAAATAAAACACCAATTTCATTTCCAGGATTTTTTAATATTTCATATAAGATGGTTTGATAATTGGCTTTATTCATTTTTGGATTGCCTAATGGTAGATCTTTCTCTTCTCTCATTTCTTTGATATTGTTTGGTGTAAGCATCACACGCCAGCTGGGCTGATAAAAATAAGTCTGTTACATGATTTTGGAGTGTTAAAGTTCAAGTTTTTCAAACCGTTACCTCTCACTTACATTAGGAGCTGCCAACACGAGAAGTTGCCCATTGCAGCTCTTTATTGGTATTAAAACGGTTAGTTTAAAGAAAACGTAAAGTCATGAGTCGCAACCTTCCCCAAATCTCCCGTCACCCTGCATTTGTCTGACTGTCTGACATCTCTTCCGTTCGATACCCAGGGAAGGGTCGAATGCTGGGACCCTCGTGTCCGGAACAGAGTGGGCATGCTGGACTGCGCCCTGAGCAGCCTCGCTGAAGGAGCAGAGTAAGTACCAAGCTGTCAGCCTGACGATGCATATGTGGCCACATGGCACTTTTCTCCTCTGCCTGTAATTGTGCTGCATGAAAAACAAGCTGCAAGCTGTGCATCATTATGGTACCTTTTTAGAAATATCAAGCCTTCGTCTGATTCACTGTTAGTTCAGTATCCTGTCACAAAGCAGTAGTGTCTGCCATTATTTAATATGTTTGTCTTTGTGTCTCACTTTACCTTTTATCCCCTTAATATTCTGTTGATATCCTGTTATTGTTATTGGCAGAGTTCAAGGTTTGCCCTCTATAAGTGCGCTGAAGTTTAACGGCTCCCTCACCATGGCAGTGGGCACCAGCACAGGACAGGTGAGCCAAAAAATACTGAGCTATGTTTTGGGCTTATAATTAACAGAAGGGTGACACACAGTATTTTGGTTTACTGCTTCGTTCTCCGCTCCCTCTGTGTTTTTTGTTGTGAACTATCAGCTGCCCACATGGTGTGAAATTGTGCCTCTTCTTCCTGATATTAGTCACCTCACAGAGAAATAGCTGGTGTCATGCCTCCTCTAAAAAGTTACTGTTCCCAAAACGAGCTCAGCTTTGACTGCAAAGCTCAGCTGCAGCCGGTGCCCTTGTGACGTTGCATCTGTTTGTTGTTGGTTTTGATGGGACAGTCGCAGTTGGTATAATGGTTTTGAACACATCCTTAACTTTTCCCCAGTATTGTTTTGGCATTCGGAAGCCTACTTGTCGCAGGATAAAATACATTTCTAAATTTTAGCGTTTTTGTTTTTTAGGTGCTGCTCTATGACCTGCGCTCCAGCCAGCCCCTGCTTGCGAAGGACCACTTCTACAACCTGCCAATCAAGTCTCTCAACTTCCACGATCAGCTGGACTTGGTTGTGTCTGCCGACTCCAAGATTATAAAATTCTGGAACAAAGACACAGTAAGACTCTAACAGCTATTAGAAGACCTGCCCTACCTCACTTGTGCTGCATGTGAATGATGATGTATAAAGGGTTGTGTTCGTATTTATATATTAGCATTTCCAAACTTCCCTGCACTGATACCGGCCCACTGGTCCATGTAAAATGGCAGCTTGTAGTCAGACATCTGTGCATGTTCATTGTGTTGATGAAGTACAACAAAGACAGGTCTGGACTGTCGATCTGTCTAGACTCATTCTGATGCCGTTGATCTCTTATTTATTCTATCTGTTCACCACAGGGAAAGGCGTTCTCCTCCATACAGCCACAGACTAACATCAATGATGTCTGCATCTACCCTAATTCAGGTGAGAACAAATACTCCAACAAGAGTCCCATGGGGAGAGGCAGAGAAAAGCTAGAATACTAAATACATGATAGTCATCTACCAACATACTGTGTAACTTCAAGTGCATTGGCAGAGCACCCACAAAAACACAAACAATTCCACCTCCAGGTGGTGCCATCTTACAGTAGCGTCAGGCTTTCACTTTGAAAGTTGACATAGATTTAATCAGATTTTTTTAGGGTTTTGCTTCATTTCAGGTTTTTGAAATGAGGTTTTATCCCTAAAGGTTAGGGTGCCACTCAATGTAATGGCCAATTTCTATTTTCAACATTTTCCAGGTCCCACCCCCTCATTCTGTTCCTTTTATGATGCATAGTAACTGTGAGAAGTTTCATTCGATATATTAATATTTACTGGTAGCTCAATGGGCTCAATGTTTTTATATTTACTTTCATTGCGATAAAATCTTATTTAACTCAAAATTTCTCTACCAAAGTAAATTAATCCTTGAGTAATACTTTTTATATCATTTAACTGTTCTTTTTCATATTCTGATTTGTGTTATTATTTGGTTTAAATACTATGTAATCAGAATAATATTTTTGGGTTAGCACTATTGCAGCCGTGGTCAGTAGTATAGTTAACTCTGTGCAGGGTCGCGAAGGGGCTGCAGCCAATCCCAGCTGTCATTGGTGAACCCTGGACAGGTCACCCTTTCATCACAGGGCTAACTCATACAGACAAACAAGTCCTACACACGTTCACACCTAAGGGCAAAGAGTCACCAATTAAGCTATGCATGCCTTTGGACAGTGAGAGGAAGCAGGAGAACATGAAGAGAACCCACACAGACACGGGTAGAACATGCAAACTCCACAAAGAAAAGCCTGGGCCTCGATCCACAGAACCTCTTGCTGTGAGGTGACAGTGCTAACCACTGCACCACCATGTCGCATCTGTGTGTCATGTTAATCTTAATTATTCTCATTTTTAGCACCACCTACAAGTTCTTTTCTGGTACAGTAAAGGAGGACTCTTCAAGAGAGGTCACTTAACAAGAGCTTCTTCTGCAGCTGTCGCTTCTATTTGTTGGAGCGCAGTGCGGACGTACACATTTAGGCTCTCAGAGCTTTCCACTGGGCTCGGTGATCTACAGTCTGAACATTTGGTGTTCCTAACCTTCCTTAAAGGGGACAACCGTTCTACCCTGAGTCAAAGCCGCCCACTTATGCCACTTCAGCAGTTCCATAATTAAGGTCTATCTGAAAGTCTATCTGCTTTACATGTGCATGTGTTTCGTCCACTTCATAGAAATCTGCAGCTGCTCTGTGAGCTGGAGCGCTAGCCTACAACAAAACACATGTAGCTGTTTTTTAAGCTGCAATACAGTCATTCTCTGGACACTTATGAATACATAAGTGTTTATTATTAACTTATGAAGTAACTGTTAGCAGCTATGTGTCTTCTTTTTGAGGAGTTTTACATTATTCAAACTTGTGATATTAAACTTAGTATTACATGTTAAATTGGAAAATGTTGAATATTGTAAAACTTTGTTATTAGTGTTGAGCTACCAGTAAAAATTATTAGAAAACATTCAAATTTTGTCAACTTAGTTTTTGTCACGTTATTAACACATTTGGGGGGTGGTAAGATGAAAATTAGAAACTTTATTTTTGAGTGGCACCTCACTAAAGGTGTTAGAGAGCAGTGAGTTAAATACACTCATTTTAAAACAGTTTTCTAATTCCTTTATTATTTGGGCAGAAATTAATTCTGAAATCTTAACCAGCCACTTTCACTTTTTCACACACCAGTTTTAATTTTAAGGCTAATATGACCTTTAAATATATATGACTGGAACTAACTTCAGTGTTTACACCACAGTGAGCTCTGTGTGTGCTTTATTTCCGTCCTCACGTTGTTTTGCCTGCACCCCGTGTTTCTCTCACAGGTATGCTCTTCACCGCCAATGAAGATCCTAAGATGAACACTTTCTACCTGCCGGTGAGTGCAGAGGCATTTACATTCCTGACTGGTGACTTTACAATCAGCGTGCATCAGACAGGTCACATTCACGTCCTGTTCATCAGGTGCCAGGCTTAACGTAGCAGAGCTGTGTGTACAAGCCTCAGTGATTCACGTGGTTGGACATGTAGGAGCAAACAAGCAAGGCTGCCTCATAATGAGTAAAGCTTGTTGTCCTCAACAGTGTCCTATGACCCTGATCTGATCCGACAGTGAGTGTTATTCTAGAGAAGGTGTGTGTGTGTGTGTGTGTGTGTGTGTGTGTGTGTGTGTGTACAGTAAACTAGACTTTGCTTTGTGTAAATGCGTAAATTTCAGACATCATGGACGTGCTGAACCTTCTGTGCTGCAGTAGAGAGAAGGGTTAGGTGTTTCCATCATTGTTGGAATACATGTTGGACCTGCAGCTGGAAAAAAAAGAGTTTCAGCTTGTCAGTTGGACGGCTGATTTTGTTTTGTGGTATGTGATAGTAAATTCAATATTGTTAGGTTCTTGACTGTTGAAGGGGTGGACAAATTAAGAAATCTGAATATGTCACCTTGAGATGGGCATTTCCTACTACTTTCTTACATTTAAATGGCCGAACAATGAAGCAGTTAATTGAGATAATGATTGGCAGATTGATCGGTAAAGGAAAAAAAGATTAATAAATAATCATTAATCCGTTAATTTGTGGACCCCAGGAAGAATAGCTGTTGCTTCGGCTACAGGTAATGGAGGCAGCTCTGGTTGGGTCAGAAGATCCGTACCATCGTTGTTTTGTTGGGAAAAGAGTAAATAAAATAAAATACTGTCGTAATGGTTGTTGTGTGTTGAACTGATCATCAGTGTCGACATGAAAATGTAAAACAAAATGAACGTTTCAAAATCAGTCAGTTGATTGACAGTTTAGCGTGTGTTGGCTCCGTTTGGAGCCACGTTTGTCATCTTCTGAGAAAATCTGTTATTTATGCCTGCGCAATGTTTCTGCGTCAAAAGGCTGCTCACAGCTCTAACTTATCTCTAAGCCGGCTTTAGGCTCTCAGCTCAGCATTGATAAAACTGAGGAATGACTGGGTGCTGATCGCAGGAGTGTGGCTCCGTGCGACCATAGGACTCACAGCCATCCAGTTATTCCAGCTTACTTAGATTTCATAACATGAGTGAATCTTTACTCTGACATACTTTTAAGTGAAGAGAACTGAAGTGTGAAGCAATTCTGAGAAGTGAATGTCATTAAGGGACACAACACTAGCAAATGAGGCATGAATAAATTCCGACTAATGTCCAGATAACACTCTTTGTTCATTAAACAACAGCCTCTACGACAGTGGCTGTGACCCTTTAAAGGATAGAATCACATTTTTTCAAGTCTGTCCTTATACAGCAGTCACATGTCATGTGTGTGTTGAACAAGTTATGGGGCTCTGTAATCATTATACTGGTGTGACCAGTGGCACCTTCATTGGGACTCTGCTGGAAATGATGGCAGTTAAAATGCCTTGTTCTCATACTGTGCAAAAATATATTCTCAAGTTCAGCTCTTTTACTCAATTTTCAATTATTTTGTAATTTTTATAAGGGGTCAAGATATGAAATTTTCAAGTAATTTAAAAGGAAAAAAGCCAAGATTAGAAGTCCAAAAAGACTTCTGGTTTATGTAGCAGTAATGTGTCTTTTTTGCTTTATAACCCTGTTAACCATGTCATGAACCCAAATGATCAGATTTGCAGTGTGTTGCGACCCACTAGGGGGACCAGGATTAATTATTATCAATTAATCCTGCTTGATGTTTGTGAAGCTTCTCAGTCGTCCAGGTCATAGTTATCGAGGCAAGAAGCCTCTTGGATGAGAGGTGAAACGTCTTCAAGTATCTTCAACCATGTCTGATTGCTCTTGATTTGACCTTCCTTGAATAATCTTTCTTGACAAAGGTTGGTTAGGTTGTTAAAATTTCAGTGAAGTGACCATCACAAATTCTTAGAAATGAGGCGAAAATATTTAATTTCCTGTCATTTTTGCTTAAATATGACACGAATGATGACTGAAATAGTTGCTGAGTGACCAGTGTTATAACAGTTGTTATCATTGACAATTAATATTAATTTTTCGATTGATCAGTTAGTAGTTTTATTTATAAAATATCAAGAATCAATTTCCTAAAGCCTAAGATTACATCCTCAAATGTCTTTTTTTGTCCACAACCCAAATATATTCAGTTTATTGTCCTAGAGGAGTCAAGAAACCAGAAAATGTTCACATTTAAGAAGCTTGAATTAGAGAATTATGACTTTTGTTTTTCTTAAAAAAATACTATAATTTCTATAGTTGCAGCTCTAGGTGGCATAATGCCATGGATCACTGGAAAAAGGAAGAGCTCAGTAATGTCTCACTGGAATGGGAACATGACATAACTAGGACAGTTCGGACAGTTCAACTATTTTTGTTTCAACAAATACATGACAGGTTTCGGACTTACTCAGCAGTCTAAATCTGAACTGTGTGTGTGTGTGTTCAGGCTCTGGGCCCTGCGCCTCGGTGGTGCTCCTTCCTCGATAACCTGACAGAGGAACTGGAGGAGAGTCCAGAGAGCACAGTGTACGACGACTACAAGTTTGTCACCCGGAAGGACCTGGAAAATCTGGGTGAGACCGCGCCGCCTTAATTTCACCTCGCAAAACTCACCGCATGTGGAAACAAGTTATACAACCAATTCACAGCGCAGATTCCCCCAAACCAAGCATGCAATTGGTAGTGTTACTCTTTTATTTAGAAAGCACAAAGAGTCAAAGAGATCACTGCACAAAGAGGGAATTTAAGACCAGCCCTGTAAGTTACACCCAAAACTATAAATCTACGTGAGCCACTTTGCCGCCTTGGGGGTTAGCACGGGTGGCTAGACTACCTAACTAGAGGCCTAGGGAACGATTGAGGGGCTTTGGTTAAGAAAAGTAGTGTGTGGGAGTGGGAGGACGGAGGGTCGGGGGAGAGGACCCTACGGGTTGAATGAACGTTGGAATGCAGAAAGAGATGCAGAAAGCTGGTTGGCTGCTGCGGAATCAAAGGGCGAGGAGGGGGCAGGCAGGGGAACAGCGGTGTTGATTTACAGGAGCCACGTAACATACATATTATGTAACCATAAGGCAGCTACAGGCAGGACTCGATGTCGGAAAGATTCTGGGGAGAGCACTTACTCCACATTCTGTGTCCCTCTACCTACATGCTCTCACTTGCTGGCAGGCTTTGACGCAACAAATATGCTCTAAAACAATCAACCCTACCTATTCTGAGACACGCTACCTGTGTATGCCGCTGCTCCCATTCCCACCCTGGAGTGAGTAATCTCAGGGAGGAGATTCTCATTTTTATTACATAATGCTATAGTTTTCTCTGCATGTCAGACCGAAATCTCCCAAATTTATTCTCAGGTGATTCCTGAAAACCATAAAACTACAGAGCCTGCAGTCATGCTAGTGGCCCTGTGAGGATGTGTGTTAGAATGCTAATATTTATTGATTTGCACAAAACAAAGTATAGCTGAGGCCGATGGGAATGTTACTAGTTTTGTAGGTTTTTTTTTTCCAAATATTTGACCGGAAACGTCCCAGGATCACCAAAAAGTCATTACAGTTCATCATGAAAGGGTCACAAATGTCTACCAAATGAAATGGCAAATAGGGGTGCAACGATACACCAAATCCACGGTTCAGTTCAGACCCCCCCCCCCCCTTTGGGTTAATTAATGTAGTCAAAGTCGAATCATGACTGGACCCAATAGCAGTTGGAAGACAATAAAATTGGTCGAAGGTGTAATATTTGCAAAATGTGGTTCTACAACTTGCACTAACTTTAAATACAGTGTCTACGTAGCCTACTTAATCATAGTAGAATCACAAAATCTAAACATGTCAGCAAAATCAGGCAGGCAAAATGCTCTGATTCTGAAATGCTCCTTGTGTGAAATGCAGTCAGAAGTTGACGGAACAAAACGGGGTCACATAGAGCTGTGAAGAACTTAGTAGAAGCACAAAAAGGACAAATTAATAACAAGTAAATAATGTGGGGCAGGCTGCACGCTCCGCTGCCCAAACACTGAGACGCTTCCAATGGACTTTGGCGCAGGGCTATGGACGCATCAAAACCGTGGCGCAACCGTAACAGACCATAGCCAGATTCTGGAGATTCCTGGCGTTACGGCTAAAATCCACTGACTCTGCCGGCGCTAATTGCGGCCATTGAAGTCAATGCTCATGAGTCCACCAAACGCGGCTGCAGCGCGTCCCAGAAGCGTCTCTCCGCTCCGCTGAGAATACATAGCAGGTCTACTTTTTCCGCTAGCCCCGTCAAGCAGCACAGAGCAGATCGAACCAGGCAGGAAGTCAGACACAGAACAGCATAGAGAATCCGGTCAATTTTCAAACACCCTGTTGAGACTCCCGATCGTAAAAAAACACAAAATTGGTTAAAACAGACACAAAAGAAAATCATTTAACTACATAGCCTACTTAATCATAGTACCAAATCAACAAAATCTAAACCTAACCAAAAGTTATTAGAAGCACAAAAATGACAAATTATTAACAAGTCAATAGCGTGGAGCAGGCTGCACGCTCCACTGCTGAGACACTTCCAGTGGACTTTGGCGCCGGGCTATGGACGCATCAAAACTGGCGCAGCTGTAACGTGCTGTAGCCGGAGTCAGTGGATTCCTGGCATTAATGAGAGCTCAACAGTCTGGGGAGCAGGTGTGTCGCGGTTCTGTCTGTCGGATCGGCGACGCGAGACCATGGGCTTTTGTGTTGCGGTTTTGGTCTCGGTTTCAGAACCGTTACAGCCATAATGGCAAACCATACTATAGTTGTGGACACATTTCACTCAACCACAAATGTGAACCTCATCTTGGTGATAGAGGGATGGTCAGGGGGATCATCAATCAGTAGGATTCTGTACAAAACATCATCCTCACCATCCATCCATCCATTGTCAACCGCTTATCCTGCGAACAGGGTCGCGGGGAAAACATCATCACAATCCAGATATCAGTTGTTGATGTATTTCAATCTGGACCAAAGTGATGGACCGACCAACAGACTGACATTGCCATCTGTATAACCGCACTGCTAATGTGGATAGAATCTATATATATTTATTTATTCCCATGGTGTTATTATTTTTTCATCCAAAATGTCTGTTTATTTTAAAGAAATGTATTTAGCAAATTCCTGATGTTATTGTTTTTGTTACGTGTGTCAGGTTTGTCTCACCTGGTGGGATCATCTCTCCTGAGAGCCTATATGCACGGCTTTTTCATGGACATCAGGCTGTATCACAAGGTAAGTTGTCGAAGTGCAATATACATTTTGTACCCACATATCTTAAATAACTATTTGAGTTGTTAAAGCATTTTTAGCCTGAGTTTAACAGTCAAAACCTGCTGTAAAAGTGTTGTTCTCAAGGAGGTAGGTTTGGATTTGACGGTTTTGCTTTCTGGTGCGGCCGCAGGTCAAAAGCATGGCAAATCCTTTTGCTTACGAGGAGTATCGCAAGGATAAGATCCGCCAGAAGATTGAGGAGTCCAGGACCCAGAGAGTGCCGGTCAAGGTGAGAGGTCCTTTCCTCTAGTGGTTACAGCATAGAGAAGTGATCCAATCTTTTAAAATTTCCATTAAGAGAGAAAATCATTGTTTTTTGACTTTTTGTGGTTCGGCATTGACAACCCATACCATTACTTTCTTATAATTGTTACTAAGCATTTCATGTTGTAAATGTAATGTTTAAACTGCACGGTTGTCTGCCGGGAACCTGTTGTTCAGGTCTAAAAACAAAGTTTATTCTGCCTTCTGTCTTCTTGCAATTAGTAGACTTCTGTGTGATCTAATGTGCAATGTGTTGGGACTGAGACAGAAGCTGCCCAAGGTAAACAAGGATCTGGCTCTCAAGCTGATGGAGGAGGGCGATGACGAAGCAGAGCTGGCTTCAAGGAAAAAGAAGGGCAAGGTAGGAGCTCATAGACATTACAAAAATCAACGTGCTCCATTTTCACTTCTCGGGTCTCAGAATTCATCTTATTCTCTGGGAATATTCTGTTTCTCATAGATGCTGTCGTTTTGTTATAAATCCAGCACACACCTTTCCTTTACAGTGGTGGCTCTCGCCCCTCCCTAAAAGTCCCTCTCTGTGCGGGTGTGGCATGTTTAGTATAGGTCATGTCAAGATGACCGGGGGATGTAACTGCCATAATCTGCTAGTCAACATTATTAGCTTAAGCCTTATTTTACACTCCAAAAATTTGCCTAGCAGCTAGCAGACTTTTCTTCTGCTTATAGCTTAAATATTGCACCATAGATGTTTACTCACTGTTTGTTCAAGTCACTGCGCTGTTGAATTTCGGCGTTATGTAACATAACAGGTTGTCATCAACCCTTCTCTGTACTTCCTGAGTTAGAAGTCTTTCCACCAAAGCATCTGTTGGCAAGAGAAAACATATATTTGCCACGCCACTTGGATCTGTAACCGGTTAAGTATGAAACACACCTTTTAAAAGGGTTGTGTGTAAATTTTTCTAACAATAACTTATAAAAACATATGTAAAATAGAAAAAGGTGAACATGTTGCTCTCAGGAGGAGGCGGCTAGAAGAAGTACATACTGGCACACTGGCATCTTGACTCTGGCTAAATCTACATCTGTCCACTGCAGAGAATCCATCCACAACCTGGAGAAGGAGCTACTATAAATGAGTGTATTAGTATTATATTATAATATTATATTAAACGTATATTGTTAATATAATAGTAAACTGTATATTTTCCCCGTTGTCTTCTGTCTTACCGATTCAGCTGCTGGCGGCGCATCTTACTCTTGTATATCATATACATATCATATAACAATAATAAATACGTTAACCCACATTTTTAGCACACAAACTATTTGGGCAAAAAGGATTTTCACATTGACAAAAACATTTACAAAATTGAATACCTTTTTAATGGCCTTCATTTTTGCACAATTGATTTATTACCTTTTAAGACCCCGCGGACACCCTGATCAACCATAATCATGTCATCTTAACTTTTCAACACGGCAGGCCCTCCCCAGCATCCTGGGCGACGACCGCTTCAAGGTGATGTTCGAAAACCCAGACTACCAGGTGGATGAGCAGAGCGAGGAGTTCCGCCTCCTCAACCCCATCGTCTCCAAGGTCAGCCAAAAGAGGAAGAAGAAGCTACGTCTACTGGCTCAGCAGGCTGCCACTTCCCAACAGGTAACATGGAACTTAGCTGCTAGTTCTAGTTTCTGCACTGGTATGGAAACAGAGGTTGTCCAGTCTCAGGGCACTCAGGAATGCAAGTGCTGTATGTGAGTCAAGGACATCAGACTTGAACTGCAAAGTTTTAAGCTGCTCCCACGTTAGATGGGAAACAAACCGTAGGAGGGATTTTCATCGGTTTGAGCCAAAAGGGAGCAGCGTAACTAAATACTGGCTTTCCACATTCAGTTGTTGTATTGGAAATACTGTATTAGCTGCCATATTAGTGCTCTGTAATCCCTCCAGACGTGGTAATCTGTTTCTCTTGTTCACAGGTCTCTGAGAGCAATCTGTGTTTGGACATACTGTGTTTTCTAGACGGTGTTTACGATGAGGGGTCAGACCTGTCCTCAGTGCTAAGAAAGAATGTCACATCAATAACTTTGGCTTTGTAACATCTCTGTCCAGGCGGCTGAAGACGAGGAGGAGCCCGAGGGGCAAGCCAGCTCCGAGGAGGAGAGCTCGGACGACGACAAGAGCTGGGTGGAGGAGGTGAGGGAGCAGCGGAGGTTGCTGCGGGAGGAGGGCCGAGACCGCCGTCGGCAGGAGAGGAAGATGGCAGACCGCAACACGGTCCTGCTGGAGAGGGAACAGAATGGAGGAGAGAAAACCTTAAACATCGCTGAGAGCAAGAAGACAAATCAGCCTCAGTTTTATCAGATCAAAGCCGGCGAGGAGTTCCGAAGTTTTAACGACATGGCCCGCAAGCAGAGACTGCAGAAGTATGTGTTGCGAAATGTATTAAATGGAACTGTTAGAGGAGTGCTAGCTTATTGTGTGGGGCACTCTTTGAAACCCAGGCTATTATTCAGATTGCTTTAGGGTTTGCAGATGTTTGTGACAGCTGGGAGACCTGGCCTGTCCAGTTATGGTAGAAACATGGTGCATGATGAGTAAAATAGCCCCGCAAATAGATTAAATAATGAATAGATTTACAAAGAATAATCAATAAATAAGAATATTAATTAAAATTGTAAACAAAACTACAGCTCTCGAGTTCATAGCCAAAACAACACACTACTGTCTGACTGCACACTATGTATACTATTTGGTATATTGTGTCTGAGGAATGTGTGTGTTCTTCCAGGGCTTCTTTGGAGGACCGTCTGAGGCTAGAGGAGCACTCTGGAACCAGCAGCATGGCCGACACTGCAGTGGGCAGCAAACAGCTGACCTTCACCCTCAAAAAGGTAAACTGTCCTCCCATAACTCGCTCCAATTACTTCATTGTTTAAAGCAATGACGCGCAAACATAAAACACGGCTTACAAGGTGGTTTGAAGATGTATTGACAAGAAGATGGTTTAACTTCATACAGTCTCGCACTCATGGTAACTCTATCGAATAGCTACATTTAGGTAAAGCGATTTTGGTCGTGCATTTCATGTATCAAATGATAACAAGCCAGCATCCCATACCAACAATAATAAAGATAAAGGTGATTTGCTATCGGTGATGTTAACAAACCCCAAATAGGAATAAACTATGACCAACTGCCTTAAAAACAAGAACATCATACAAGTACAGGGGTTCATTCTTACTACAATGTACAGAATAAATAGAAAAGAGCATAAATGTTCAAGAAAATCTTTTGGAGTGGCCTTTTACCAGCCAAACGCACACCTGTGCAAGCCCCATGCTGTCTGATCAGCATCTTGATATGCCACACCTGTGAGGTGGATGGATTATCTCAGCAAAGGAGAAGTGCTCAGATTTTGACAGATTTGTGAACAGTATTTTAGAGAAATAGGCCTTTTGTGTAGAAAGTCTTAGATCTTTGAGTTGAGCTCATGATGAACGGGGGCAAAAACAAAAGTGTTGGGTTTATAATTTAGTTCAGTATATAATTTAAAAGCAGGGAAGAATTGCCATGAAAACACACCATAAATATGTCAATGATCCCAGTTCACCCCACAATATAAAGAAAAATAGAAAAATGCTGCGAAATGCTTTGGTGTGTTTGTGCTTTCACGTGGCCAGCAGCCTGAATGAGTTCTACTGTTGTACTGTGCAGATCAGCTGTCACCATTGTTCGCAAACATCTTTAACACCTCACTGGAGACATACCATGTGCCGGCCTGCTTCAGATCCTCCGCCGTCATCCCCTTCCCCCCAAAAAAGAGGTTACAGACCCGTCACTCTGACCTCTGCGGTTATGAAGTCTACTTGACTTGATTCGAGCGTCTTGTGCTGTCACACCTCAAATCCATTACTGACCCTCTCGCCTCCAGGATGCCTCCAGGACCCTGAGCCGTGCAGGAAAGATTGTGGCTGACCCGTCCCATCCCAGACACAAACTGTTTCAGACACTTCTCCAGCAGGAGGCTGCGGTCAATCAGGACCAAAACCTTACACCATAAGAACAGTTTCTTTCCATCTGCTGCTTGCCCTCATCGGCAAGGCCCGGGCCCCTACTGACACTGACACAGAGTCCCATATGCCCCTAACCCCCCATTACACGTTATATTAAAATAAAGTTTACAATGCATTACATTAATACACATCCTCTATATTACTATTTTGCGTATTGCAAATATTTTTTAAACTTCATACTGTGAACTTGGTAAATATGTTGCAAATCCCTGCACAAACTGTACAGCCCTTTCATTGAAATAACCGTCATATTTTTTCTAATGTTTTATATCTTAATACAATTTTCTATTTCATGTTATGCTTATAGTACTTGTATTTATCTTTATATTTTCTATTTACTATGTTTATTCTTGGCCAGCACACTTACTCACCAAAATACCAAAGCAAATTCCATATATGCGCAAACCTACTTGGTAGAAAACCTGACTCTTCTGATTATGTTATGCAAACTTTTTTTGTCTCATCCCCTGCCCCTACCTGGAAGTGAGCAATGTTTAATACTCCTTGCTTTTTGTAGGCATGTACAGGTGGTGGAAACACACAGCAGAACATTCTTTAACATTAGCGTTGTTCTGTCCTCCGCTTGCAGTCAGAGCAGCAGAAGAAGCAGCAGCAGGCCGAGTTGGAACACCACGAGGAGAGAAAGAAAGTGAGACGCTCGGCCGGACACCTGAGCAGCGGCCGTGGGAGAGGCTGGGGCGGGGGCAGGGGAAGAAGAGGAGGGAGAGGCCGGTACTGAGGAGGGCAGCTTAGGCCTCACCCACAGCCTTTGTCTTATCTTCGAGGGTTGAAGATCTTCAGCTCTAGACATACTGGAGACATTCTGCACAAGTGGCGTAGACTGACACTGACGAACAGTCGAGCCCTGCCCCTTGCTCCTGGGTGGCCTGGGCCATGTGTTTAGCTGTTCTCTGCAAATTGAGAGCATTTTAAAAAAGATTAACTATGCTTCTCAGTGGAGCCTACTATTTCAGTTAATGAAGGGGAGAAATAGTTTGCGTGTGTGGGGGAAAAAAAAGACTAAAGTGGATTTTCAATGCTTTGTTATAACTGTATATTGTTAAGCCAACTCTGGATTAACAACACTTGTACTATGTATTATATTTGGTACAACACTTTCTTGTCTACTTGTTTTTGTTACTGAAAGTCAAAATATACATTTCTACTGAGTGCAAAAAAATGGCTCAAATTGTGCTAATACTAATCAAACTAGAGCGTGCTTTCTTTGCAGCAGTTTACAACCTATATACGTCAGAAGAGGAGGGGCAGAGAAAAATGTGGTTGAGGAAAGGATTTTTTTTTTCTTTCCCCTGCCGGCAACTGCAGTTCTTGGAAATAGAGGAACTCCCTGGATGTGCTTCCCATCCCCCAGTGGGCTGATGGTGTGAACCCCTTCTGCTCCAGCATTGGCCCATTTCAAATGGGAGGGAGGTGCGTTTAAGTATTCAGCATGCCAACCCTGGCCCCCAGGCTCATTTGAACTCATTTGATGTCACCGTGCTTTTTCACCATGACCCATCTGCCTACAAAAACCTGAGTGTAAAAAGGAAAATGCACCGTTTTACGAGGGGCTTATGTGCCAGACTATTTCTTGGCCAGGACATTTAAGTTCCTGGAGTCTCCGCATCATTTTTACACTTTGGATTTTGTAAAGATTAAACAAATAGTGAGGTATAGAGGTGCCTGCAGACAAATTAATTTTTGGACAGAGCCAGGCAAGATGCTTCTCTGTTTCAGTCTTTATGCTAAGCTAGGCTAAAACGCTGCTGGCTTACAAATGCGAGTGGGATCCAAATGGCTTTACACAGACGGTGAGCTACTGTGCTAGTTGCTGGCCTGACCAACTTGAGCCATTTGGGGTTCAGTGTCTTGCCCAAGGACACTGGAGGAGCTGGGCAGCTAATCGCCAACCCTGTGATCATTGGACGACCCACTGTACCTCTGGAGACACAGCCCTCCTTTAATTTTTTTCAGGGTCATATTGCCCTGTCACTTTGTATGCAGCTAGATCGATCAAGGTTAGGGTTTAACATACTTTAAAACAGAAATCCACAGGTACAAAGGCTTTGAAGGATGAACAGCTGTTTAACCGGGTATTTGTTGAGAGATTACCATCAGTAGAGAGGGGACTTAGTCCAGACGACAAATCATCAGCTTAGTTCATTCCTTTGTGTTGGGACCCCAGCGACAATGTCCCACTTTAGGAACATACAAACATCATTTAGCAACATGTCATCTGGGATAGTTCTTTAATCTGGGTTCCAGGCAAATTGCCCCCTTTTCTTTTCACTTTGCTTTGGCTTCACCATGACAACTGGCAATCAGGCCACAGGAAGTGGGTCAACCAAAGATGCCACAAAGAATAAGGAAACTTGAATTTCCACAGAGGCAAGGCAATGCCATTTGATACACTAACTTGTAAGCCAAACTATTACATAGACCCACAGTATTCTTCATGGTTCAAGATTTCTAAAGATTTCTATCGTGTTGTATTTCTATAAAGGTATAAGTTCCTTATGAGCAAATAAGATGTGAGAACGTTGTTCATAAGTTCGTAACAAAACATTCTCATATGTCCAACAAAAAACCACATGGGAATGTTCTTATTATGACCTCTTTGTAAAGTTGCTATGTGACCATAAAATAACCAATATGGAGTCATATAAAGAACGTAATGATATGACTAACTTAGATCCATATGAGAACGTTCTGATTACATCCTCTTTGTCAGGTTTTATATGTGCTCATAAAATAACCATTGTTGAACTTGCCCCTAAAGCCATATAAGGAACATTCTAAGACGACCAGCTTAGACCCATATGAGAACGTTCTGATTATGTCCTCTTTGTAACGTTGCTTTGTGACCATCAAATAGCCATTATGGAACTCATATGAGTAATGTTGAACTGTGGCACTTCCATTATCAAAAGAGGACGTTTTAGGAACGTCCCTAATGTTCTGTAAAGGTTGAGATTGTTCACTTGCTACAGTAGCTCCAGAGACAACACAACAAATATGAAAATACACATTAAATAAAATAGAAAAATACAAAATATAATTGAAATAGAAAAAATATGAATTAGTTATGTGTTCACTATATACTCTTTAATTCACATTTGTGATGTGTAATGATGTGTTACATGTTTAATTAAAACAAAGGGGAAAAATGGGTCCTTTCATGTTCAGGTTTGTGGAACCACAATGGTAGCATTCCTTTTTTTCTCAGAAGGTAAGTTTTGTGTGTCTATTACTCAAAATAGTTAAAGAATAATAGATAGATAGTTTTGATCCAGTAGGCCTACTTTGGCTTATGACAAAATACCTGCAGCTGTACTTGTGTTATGTTAACATGCTTACAGGCTAAACTAAGATGGTGAATTTACTAAACTTGCTAAACATTAGCGTTGTCATTGTGAGAAAGCTATTGTGCTGACGATAGCATTTGGTTCGAAGCACAGCTGTGCCTATACAGTGTCATTGAGCGGCTAGCATGGCAGCTTTAAGAAAATATGGTAATGCATCTGCATATTAACAGTCGAAAAAATGTATGCCTTTCAATGTCAGTACAGTTTTTAAGAAAAAACAAGGACAGGAGTAACTCATGTGCTAGGCTCAGCTAGCATGCTCCAGTGACCTCAACTAAGGTGAAGCTGTTATAGATGACTATAAAAATCCTGACCTACAGAGTGTTTAATTGCTTAATGTTTTCTCTGGCTGGTAAAGCAACTGTTTAATACTGAAGCAACATAACTTCTGTTTTGTTAGTCATTTTATTTCATGGGTTTAATAAATCTTTTGCACAATTTTACACTGTATAGTTTATAATGTGTGTAAAATTGTTATTCTGCTTTAATTTAAAAATTATATACAATGTTAAGTTAAAATAGATATTTGGTTACTGGAAAATAAGTGGATTACATTAGATGCATTTTTTTTTTTTTGGAGTGCAGGGAGTGAATTGCCTACTTAATTGCAGTAATTTTCTTCAGTCTGTACCCCCCCCCACCCCAAAAAGGATCAAAGGAGTGAAATGTGCTGACGCAGCCTGTTCACCGAGCTTCAGGCCAACCCAGGAAAGCACAAAAGATGTTCCAGTGAAAATCAAATATTTTTTGCCTACTAACCAACTCTGGGCAACTCAACCTTGAAAGAAGAAGAAGTGATGAGTAAGCAGAGAGCTTGATTAAACAGCTCTCCTCTCATCACCCCAGGGACAGAGCTAGTGGGCAAGTGGGGCAGCTGCATGGTCAAAGGCTAAATTCATTACAACAACCTTTCGAAAGCTTAATTTAATAGTCTTTTTATTCAATGCAGTATTTAAACAATTAGATATGCAAATTACATTATTAAAATTGAATCAAATTGATAAGGTTTTACCATTGAGCTATTCCTTTTGATGTTACCACTCTTACTCTGAAAACTTTGAGAGCCTCTGTTTTCAGCAGCAGGGTGGTGAAATGATTAGCAAGAAGGTTGTTGGTTCAAACCTGCTGCCTCTGTTTGGGGTTTGCAATTTTTCATTGTGCCTGCATGGGTTTTCTGCGAGTGCTTCCTCTTTTTCTTCCTTTATCTGTGTACTAGCCCTGTGTGGACCGTGAAAATATGTTTTAAAGTTAATATTCTATCAACTCTGGTCTTTGACTTTGTAGATTCTAAGATGGTTGGAAACTTGGAGTCATTCTGACCTTCAGATTCAAGACACACAGTGATACAAGACACACTGGTGCTGCATGATATCTCAACATCATTGCCATGACATTTTTAAAATAAGTAGCTCACATATTTGTCTGATGATATTAAAACCAGCCTAGTTCATTCCTCTTTAAACTGCAAGTGTATGCAGGTGTCCCAAAATCAATTCAGATCATGCAAAGTATAAAGTTTGATATTCATCTCTTGCATCCAAAAGATTTCAACTCACTGGCATTAAGTCCTAAATACAGTGTAACATGATGGAGGGACACTGTATGGGTCCATGTTTTGTTTTGTTGTTTAACAAGCCTAAGAGTCTACAGCTATGCCGTGTGAGGCACAGTGGTGCTTCTAAAGTTAGCATGCTGACATGCTCACAAATGAAAAAGGGACTTTTTAACAGCAGACATCCATCCAGTCAAGAAATTTCACCAAATAAAGTCAACTTCATGGCGATAATAAAGGGAAGGTCAGGGGATCACCAAAGTCAGTGGGTTTCATCCTCTGTTGTATGCTTAAAATCTTATAACCATCCATTTAATAAGTCTCTAAGCCCCCCCACCCCCCGCTTAACTATCACCGTCATGTCCCTGTGAAGCTGAACGGACAAATCTGGACCAAAAGTCAAGCTTTAAAATCAAGTGTGAAGTCAGTTATACTGTGGCATTATAACTAACAATGGAAAGTTAACAACACTATGTACATGAAACAGCTAGGAGAGATAACTTCTTTACAATGTTGCCAATCAGCCCCAGTGTTTTTGTAAGGCTAGCTAGCTAGCAGCGACAAAAAACGAAACGATCATCACAGCAGCAAGTGCAGTGGAACATGTATAATTTAACTCCATCTAAGAAAAGAGAATGGACTTTGAGATCAAATACACCCTCTGCCTGTGTCTGTCTGCCTCTTTGCCACTGGTTTATTTCTCAATGGTTAAATGTTCCACTGTGGTGGGCTGTGTGTATTTAACCTAGCAAGAATGCAGAAGTTCGTATTATATATATAGATGTGTGTGTGTGTGTGTGTGTGTGTGTGTGTATATATACAAGTAGTTGATACTTTTGATGTAACATAAACCTTTTAGAAAATAATATATTCTAAAATCAAACGTGTTTTCCATGCTAAGTAAAATTTTTGCTTTCTTTTTGATGTCGACATGAATCGTTTACTCAGTGAATGTCATGTGGTTTATTGTAAACCCTCTTACAAATTAAGAATTTAATTAATAAGTAATAAAACACAACCATGCACAATTCAGTACACTTAGGGTTTGTGCAGCACTCGACTAATGTTAGCAAACTTAAGATGGGTATTGCTGTGTAACTAAAGTTGCCAAGTAATTTCGCTAACATCATGGCTCTTTTCTACTTGAGCTACTGTGCACTACCTGACATTAGCCTTGTGAATGAAGTGTTGTTGAGACCCACAAGAGCAAACCTTCAATTTAAAGGCATTGCAGTAACATCCTAAACACTACAGCATGACCTAAATTACAAGCCACCCATTGTCTGTGTATTTTATGACAATACAGACCTTGAAATTTATCTCCACGCCGGCCTTGTACTGTTTTTGTCACAAAAAGAAGTCTCATTCTTGTTTGACATATTGCATCTTACTTTCCCTTTATGTTAAGCTGCATTGACGTAACAAAGCCGACTTCAGGTTTGTGTCAATGCACTTCCTTTCGGTGGCTGACTAGTCACTCTACGGTGCCTGTGTAGTGCAATGGTTTTAACTCTACCCAGCTATCTAGGTGGCGTCTGTCATCAGAGCTTTAAGTTGATAAGCTAATGTGTCAATATGCTGTTGGGGTCTCACCCCATCAAAGTCACTCTGTCTAATCTGAAATGACAAATGGACCAGATTCAAAAGAGTAAAGAAACACCACAGGTACCATCTGCTCAGATTGGCCTATAGCCATGCAGAGAAAGACTAAGATTTCCGGTCTTCTAAGTAGCTGTCTGGGCCAGTCATACATGCTCGGGTATATTGAGGTCAAGCCTTCATGGATTTTGTCTGTTAACCCCTTATGTTGTCTAAACACATCCAATCTTTGACCTCTGACCCCACAGCTACGTAGTTATTTTAGTCAGTTTAAATGAATGTTAAATGTTGCTGTTGCTGGCAACAAGTTTATGCAGCTATATGGAACCATAAACAGTCAGTGCTGTGTACCTTTTATGGGCAGTATATTCTGTCACATGATAATCAACAGATGCCTTTGGAACACTGGTCACATAGCTCAATAAATAGTGCATAGCCTACTAAAATATGACTTTAATCACCTGAATTCCTTTAACTTTATTAAGCTTGTACATCTCTTTTTCAAACCTCTGATAGATTACAGTTATCTGACATCATCAGTGTAAGACCACGTAAGTCGTTTCAGTTTAGGTAAACAACGCATCAGATCTGCTAGCTTTTTTATAAACAGACATACAGACCAGACACTGACGCAGATAACTACTGTAACTATTTATAAAAAAAGGGATTATATATTTGTATCTCTGATATCACAAGATAATCTTTGGTGTGGGGAAACACCGTGTAGAAGATCTTGAGTGGTGTTATTTGCTTCAAGCATCAGATTTCTTCATTTTGGTTCAACTGAGGTAATGTACAGTCTCTTGAGAAATGTCAGGCAAAGTTGCCTATTCCCAAAAGATGCGTAAAGCATACTGAGCTGGATGGTACAGGAACATAAGATGATGAAACTGTAAAACTGTTTCATCATGATTTCATTTCGCAAGTACGAGCTAACAAAGAAGTGAAGAGAAATGCAAAGCCAGATGCAGTGATACACATGACACACAGTCACCAAGGTCCGTACGCTGCACTATATCTTGTGGGTTGGCCAATAACAATCATCATCCTTGTATTTTGTGAGGCCTTGTACATGTGGGGGTTAGGCCACAATGGTCCACAGTAGTGATAACAGAAACTCCACACAGAGCGAGAGACAGACATTACAGGAGAGGGGTGAAGGAGAGGGTAGGAACACAGACGTGGTCGAAGAGAGACAAAAACAGAAACAAAAGGAAATGGCTAGAGTCAAGACGAACAATCTAACCCGGGTTTGCTATGTAACACATTTGAAGAATACTGTGATCTTGTGACTTTGAGCAAGCTAATAAACATCTGTTGAAAATGAATTAGCCCCCAGGTGTGAGCCCACTTCCTGCCTGACAGGCATGGCTCTGCATAGGAGGCGAGGCCTGCTAGAACAAGATAAGATTTAGTGCAGAACCATTGCGAAAACGGCAATTTATGAAAATGAAGTATGCCGCCCTCATTTGAACCTTTTGACCATTTCAGAAAAGGCTGTGCTTTTTACTTTTTGATAATTAAACTGCTTGGAAAAATTGACTTCATTCACCAACCCTGCAGAAACTTTGAATGGAAACCATGTTGTGCAAAGAGTAGAATGCCATCTTGAGTGTGGCCTCAAGACCAGGAAAAGATATTAAGTTAAGGCCACAGATATGTGGTCTTCTTGAAACTCTTAAGTTTACTGTTAGTGTCCTGTATATTTCCACATGCATGATTACACTAACCAAATTCTTTATTTTCCTCCATTTGGTAATGTCTTCTTGCAAACCAAATGTCTATGAAAGCAACCTTTGGACTGATTGGACTGTGCAGTAAAGGGGAGAATGTCTGGGGGAAGCGAGAATGTCTGGGGGACAGGAATTTGAAGGGTTTGGGTGAAAAGGCATTTTTCTTCTTCAATGTAGAAGTACTATAAGACTTTAAAAATCCTGCACACCATTTTCAGTATCTTACAGTGGCATATGTATTTTTTTTATTCATGTCAAACATTTGTTTTACAAACCTTGACAAGGATATAGATACGATAAAAAAAACACCCCACTTCCTCAAGTAAAACACATTCATTGTATATCTTCATAGAACTTTACAGAGCTGTTGTGACATGTGACTGTGTTGACAGCATGCCATCTCCTAGTCATCTTGTGATCTCCTTTAATCTCATTAGGAAGGTCAAGAGCAGGCTGCCATCCAGCATGCTGTCAGTCAGGGCCAGCAGACTGTTGCTGTCTGCCAATGTGAGTAGGCATTTCTGGGATTAACACAAATTCAGTGCATTACAGCTGGCCATAGGAAATGAATTACTTTCTTTATTGATCATTTTGTCTATAAAATGAAAATGTGCATTATAATTTCCTAAATGCTTGTTTATCTAAACAACAGTTCAAACCCAAGAGATATTTAATTTACTATCCTCACATTTGCAAACCTGAGCCCAGAGACTGTGTTTTGGTTGAAAACTGACTGAAACATGTAATCAATTTTATATTCAACTCTTTAAAGATTTGTATATGTTTCTCTAAATCCCTAAGTGTTGGACTGGCAATTGCCTGACCAGACAGTCCTGGCTAGCATGCCCGTGGACAAGTACATTTCATGTTAGGAATCTGGTTAGGAAAGTAGACAGCTGCATCAAACATACCCTTACAGTCAAAGATGCAAGCTTTTTAAGCATTTATTGAAAGCTTGGACTTCAAAAAAAAAAAAAAAGAAGTTCAAATTCACATCAACGGTTCAAATCTACATGTATTGTTTCCGTGAGGTAAGGACGCTGGCCAAAGACAATAAAGGCAACAGTTTTATGAGAAGCACAAACCGGGGCTAAAACAGGATGCGAGAGCTAACATTAACTAGACAACTAAACAAGTGATTGCCCCTATCTGCCTTGACTTTACCTCAATGTGGTGACACGCCTCAAGTTTTTTTTTACGTAAATATGAGGCTGGTTTGAACTGGTTGTACCTTTCCGTACTCTTGTATATGGTAATTGTCTAGCGGCCCCTGTGTCTGTGTGTCGCTTCCACCATGTGGATGAGGTAACAAGGCTAAACCGGTTCATACGTGGATGGGAGGCCGGTTTCAGCTAGCTGCGTTGCCGTAGGAACGAGCTCTCTATAAATACTGTCGTGATCCTTTATCGGCTTCCATTCTCGTTTCAGTCCTGGTTAGAGACAGCACCTCCCGCAGCAGGCTTCATTGTGAAGGGGAACTGCTTTATTTGTTTATCCAAGCAGTTGAGTCCAATGGACAAACTCTTTGTAAATGCTTTTTAAGGTAAGAAACGACTTTTCGATGTATTACTAAAAACGTCACATCTTTTAACAAACGTTAGCACGCTGATTCGGCGGCTTAAAACGACATACAATGAAAAGGGGACTTAACGTAACGTTACTGTATTCTTGTTATTTTACCGTAATGTGAAATTAATTCAAAATTCAATCTCTCTGGAGTGTTGCTCAATAATACCAACGTTAAGTTACGTGGCCGCTGTGACAGACGACTGGGTAGCTAACGTTAGCTACTACTTTATTGTATGTGTTAACCTTGCTTGCTAACCGGACGTTTCCCTATCATGGTAACTGTTCGGGGCTATAGACTTCGGTGTGTTGACGTTACGGTTAACAGGTTTTTGAATTGGCAGTGTAAACTAGCATATAAAGTCACTTCTAATGCTACGTTATACCATAGACTCTGTTATACCGCCTCATGGCACGCAGAGCTCTAAACGGAACCGGCATATTAACGTCTGCGTCATTTGTTGGTCTCGGATTGGTTCATTTTCATGCCGTTCCATTAAATTAAAGGCGGGTCTTCTTTGCAATTGGGTTACAGCTTCACTGGGCGGAGCTTGGACATGAGTCCTTTCATTGACTTTTTTTTTCTGTACAGATGGTGTCAAGTTGTCATGCCATAGTTATAAAATGGATCGCTAGAAAAGACTGTGCACTGTGCGTGTATTGCAATTTTAAGTTAATTATAATGTTTTTAACTGAATAAATCGTAAATGTGTGATTAATGTATAAATATAAAATCCTGTTCATAGTTCATAAATGCAATATATTAATGTTTTATTTTAAGTCTACTCCTAATAGGCTGTAAACCCACTAAAGTTGAGTCCATAGTTATGCTTCTTCTTTCCTGACCCAGCTTTTCCCCTTGATGATTTGTTTTATGTTAACATATTGTACATAAGTTCAATTTTACTTATGTAGCACAATCATAAATTTGCGTCAAGGTGCTTTACAATCTGCCAGCAAAGACACCCTCTATCCTTTCTCCATTTGGATAAGGAAAACTAACAAACAAAAAACCTTAACTGCTCTTGGTTACAGAATCATCCCTTGAGGAAAACGCACACTGGCTACTCTGCAGGCCCCGGCCTTGAGTCTTATTTGAAGGGATTTAACTTCACTGGTGAGCCGCCTTGGCTTCTCTGCACCTGAGAAACTGCAACACAAAATTCCATCTATCATATTCAAGTAAGTGTGTCACTGGCTGCATTGTCTTACATAGATAATGCTATTAAAAATGATCACTCAGTCAAGTAGTATGCTTTAGAATTACTCACACTTGTTTGAGACTTTCCCATGAGAGGGGAATAAAATGGACTTTAGTAATCAAGGACACAAAAGACACTGTGTTCTCAAAGCTGAATGTAGTCTCAATATGTCCTCCCCTCCTTTTTCCAGTTTTCTAGTGACCAATCAAAAGGGCTTCTTGTGACCATGAACACTGCCACTCCTACTGAGTTTGAATTCTCTTTCCTGGAGGAGGGTTTCTCTGCCAGGGATATTGTTGAGCAGAAAATTAATGACTCATCCATGACGGTAAGCGTCCTGTGCTGACATTGTTTATCCTACACTTTTGGTCAGATTTCTGGTATCTGAATTGTACGTCGTTTACTTAACTCGTAAGACCTTGGGTGTGCAAATGATTGTCAGATTTAATATTACACACAGTGTTTATTGTTTGCCGTGGATCTGCAGTATTGTATGTTGGAAGATGTTTTTGTTACATACCTGCTTTTTTAAAACTCATGTCCCTCTTTTCCATCCACTGCATTACAGGATGACAGGGATGCTTTTTATGTCTGTGACTTGGGAGATGTGCTAAAGAAACAACTGCGCTGGATGAGGGCTCTGCCTCGCGTCACTCCTTTCTATGCCGTCAAATGCAACGACAGCCGGGCTGTAGTTATGACACTGGCATCCCTGGGAACTGGCTTTGACTGTGCAAGCAAGGTGCGTGTTGGAAAATGTTCATAGCGCTAGATCTTCTCAGAATAACAATTCAAAGCTCTCTTGATGATTAGCTGAAATTGCATTGGCAGCTCGTGTTTTTAAATTAGCACTTTTTTTGCTGACTGTTGGCATTGTCCCCTACTAGACGGAGATTCAGCTGGTTCAGTCTCTGGGAGTGGATCCAAGCAGAATCATCTATGCCAACCCCTGCAAGCAAGTTTCTCAGATCAAGTATGCATCTGCCCATGGGGTCCAGATGATGACCTTTGATAGCGAGGTGGAACTCATGAAAGTAGCCCGCTGTCATGACAATGCCAAGTGAGACATTTACCATCCATAATATGAAGGCTTTTGTGGTGTATTTTTATTCATCTGTTTGTCTACATTTTTCTCCTCTTCACTAACGGTCTCTGCATTGTGCCCAGGCTGGTGTTGCGTATTGCCACAGATGACTCAAAGGCAGTGTGTCGCCTAAGTGTGAAGTTTGGGGCCCCACTCAAAGCTTGTCGAGGTCTTCTGGAGCAGGCTAAAAAACTGGGGCTGGATGTGATCGGTGTCAGCTTCCATGTTGGCAGTGGCTGCACTGATCCCGAGACCTACACCCAGGCTATCGCTGATGCCCGCTGTGTCTTCGATATTGGGGTGGGTTGTGACAGAAATACATTTACAGCTGTAATTTAATGTGGGTTTTCACCCAGCAAAATAAACATAGAATCTTGATTTTTGTGACTTAGGATGAGCTGGGCTTCAACATGGACCTGTTGGACATTGGAGGTGGTTTCCCTGGTTCAGACGATGCAGAACTCAAATTTGAAGAGGTATTTTGCTTTTTTTATTTTTATTTAGTTTTTATAAATCGTGGTGTTTCATAGGCTAAACATTATTTTGTTCTTTTTGTTGGATAAAAAGATGACAGTACAGCCTTTTATACGTTTAGCTGCAGCATCAGTAGTGTCTGTGCCTGTGATGACTTCCTGTTTTTAACTTGTAGATCACAGCAGTAATCAACCCTGCCCTGGACAAGTATTTTCCTGCTGACACTGGTATTAAGATTATTTCTGAGCCAGGGCGCTTTTATGTGGCCTCTGCTTACACACTGGTTGTCAACATCATTGCCAAAAAGGTCATCATGGACGACGAGCCAGGCTCTGACGGTAACAGCCTTGATTTAGGAAAAAAATGTTTGTTGTTCTAAACGCAGATTTGTAACATTACTTAGTTTTTAAAATGATTATGCTTCCTTCACAGAAGAAGACGATGTGACCAATGATAGGACTCTGATGTACTATGTCAATGATGGAGTGTACGGCTCCTTCAACTGTATACTCTATGACCATGCTCACTGTTTGCCAACACTACATAAGGTAAGTGAAATTCTAGGAAATTGAAAGTGGGGGGCCAAGTTTCTCCTTTATCAATATGGGTCAGTGAAAGGTAAAGTCTGGTAGTGGTTAACCTCTTGTTTCCTCACCCCTCTCAATACTAATAGAAGCCAAAGCCAGATGAGGTCAGGTACCCCTGCAGTATCTGGGGCCCAACGTGTGATGGCCTTGATCGCATTGTTGAGCAGTGTAACCTGCCTGACCTGCAAGTGGGTGACTGGCTGGTCTTTGAGAACATGGGTGCTTACACCGTGGCTGCCTCCTCCACCTTCAACGGCTTCCAAAGACCTGACATTCACTATGTCATGTCCCGCCGTGCCTGGTGAGTAGACGTCACAGAAGCTGAAAGTGGTAGTTAATGATGGATCTCTTATTGGAGTCTGTTCATGAGGGAACATTTGCAGGTTTAAGTTTTTCTTGCGTTCTAGACAATCTTAACTTCTATCTGTTTTCTACAGGCATCAAGTGCAGCAGATCTGTTCCCAGGGCATGCCAGCTCCTGCGGAGGAGTCTTGCCTGTTTGAAGTGCCAGCCTGCTGCGGCAGAGAGAGCAGCTTGGAGATGCCCACAAAACCCTGCCAGGCCCACGTGGTTTAAACGCATACTGTACAACACAACACTTCTCTTCAGATCTAGCATCCTTTGTTAATTATTACAGAAGGTTCACTTGTGTTTTCTTTTTGTTTTTTTGTCGTCTTCACAAATGTACATGACATTTCAAGGCCAGTTACTTGACAGGAGAATGAGAGGGACATGTCGCACACATTTCTGTGTTCTGTATGAAAGCTGGGGATCAACCTTCAATGAAATGAGGCTGAATCACACTCCAAGTGTCTCTGTGTGTTCCAGGCAGAGTGTTACAGGGCAACTCTGTACTTAATTAGGTTGCTGCAGCCTTCCTGCGCTAATTTGGGGGAGTAACTGTAGTTCTTAAAGAGTCTATTTGCTGAACTGGAATAGTGTACAGAGAGATACCTTTGCAAAATACATCAAAAAGACCACTTCACAGAAGATTCCCATCACCATAGGACTTGAAACTGTAGCATTAGTCCAAGAGGTGAGGGTTTACTCACGTTATTCATTTAATATTTTAAAAAAGTATGGTAGCAGATTGCTTCCGGCTTAGGCATCCGGCAGTGCTGACTGACCTGCGAAATGTAAAGCGGGTGGGGCTGTTATTTTACTAAACTACTGGACCCTACAAAGCCTTGTAAACAGCTAAAGTCACATCCCTAGCTAGAAACTCGCAAAGAGGTGGTTGGAGGGGTGATTTAATTCCTCAAATGGCTGCTATGTTTTATATTTATATTTTCCATGATCTCCACTTCTGTACAGAACACCTTAAGTGTTAATCCTCAAGATGCTGACATATCAAGAAATACCATAGTTTCTGTGGGGGTTCATAATGTAGTGTTTCAGAGTGTTTGTGTTCTGTAAAGGTTTTTGCTGGTTTTGGCCAGAGCCCAGGAAGTGCATGCGTCACATTCTGCATGTCTAAATCCCATATAATGTGTCTCTGGCTGTCAGACAGCAATCTAAATACATAACTAAATTTAAATATCAGCTACCCATGGCAACCAATGTGATCTTCATATACAGTATTTGTCCTCGTCAGCAGACACTACAGGTACCACCAGAAACAAATCTTTAAGATTAACATTTAAAACACAGGGACTCAAGAAGCAGACGTCTCCTCTCCTCTTCTCCTCCTTATTCTTATTTTTTTTTTTGTACCTTGTTGAAGGCAAGAAGTCTGTTCATGATCATAAGAAGCAGTGTTTAACAATACATTTGAAATGGATTTGAAAGTTGGGATTGCAATTTCATAATGCTTTCCTATGGAAACTTTTTGTCATTTTGTATTTTATTAATAAATAAAACATTAGGTGCGGAGCCGAATTACTGGCGTGTGTTTTGTACATGTGTACTACAAAATTTTATGAAAGCACTTATGTACTTTTATAGACACCAACAGAGCTCTTCACTGGATGTTTCAAGGGCCCCATCTAGTGTTTGTATGAGAAACCAGTGCTTACTGTGATTGCCAGTGTGATATTCTCAGTATTGCATTTACATGGTCCAGTTCTCAATAACGGCTATGACATGAGTGCATTTTCTTTTTACTATTATCTACCCTTACACTCACACCTACCCTTCAAACATATGCAACGCAATTGCTTTTGCCTGCCAGTGTAGAATCAACACCCTAAGACACATTACAAATATACAGTATTTTGTGAGTTGGGTAATCTAAACATTTCTAAAGTGGAGTTTGTTACCTTGTATTAAAATCAATCATTTAGCTGACGCTTTTATCCAATTGCTATACATGTCAGAGGTCGCACGCCTCTGGAGCAACTAGGGGTTAAGTGTCTTGCTCAGGGACACAATGGTGGATGTCTCACAGTGGGAATTGAACCCAGGTCTCCCACGCCAAAGGCAAGCATCGTATCTATGTTACGCCACCACCACCAATCAGGTTCTAGTTTAGTTTCAGGAGGCAGACACCATCTCCACATTTAATAGTAGGCTTTCCTTTTAGATGTACTGTACCTTATAGCTCAAATGCCCAATCCTAAATACCAAATGCATTTTTTATTTAGACTTTTAGTTTTAATTCTGACCCAACAATCCCTCCATAGAGAAAAGCTGAGGCTTTCTTGTTTGTTGTTTTGTTTCTTTGAACAAGTGATTAAAAAGTGATGCATTTGTCTCTTTGTGTTTGTCTTCCTTTTTGTTGCAAATTCATTTTCTACAGCCTACAGTGAACAATCCATAGGCAAACTTTCATTGTACATAGGAGGCTCAGTACTGCAGTACTCACAAAGAAAAGTAAAGTTTATTTAGTTACAGTATGCAACTCTTTATGAGGATACATCTCTTAAAATCAAAATCTAATAAAGCAACCACAAAATTAAGTAGCCTAATAAAGTTTACAGTAGCAAAAACAAGCATAACAAGCACTCACTTTGTGTGTTATGTAAAGGTTCAGTGTGTTAAGTTTTAGCGGCATCTAGCAGTGAGGGTTGCGAATTGCAACTAATGGCTCACAGTGCATTCATATGCTCCTCGGACGGTCCCATTTCCGGAGTTGTGAGGTCTTACTTTCGACTTCAGTGTGTGTTTATGTGCTCTTAAGTCAGAATATAAAATCAACATGGACGCTACTACAAAGATGTGTTGGATTAGCATTAACAGAGCATATAAGCAACACGCAGCCATCTAGTTCACTCTACATGGACAGCAAACTAACCGTTATAACCATATCACAATTACATGTTTGCAAAATATGTATTTGCAATTTGTAATCTTGCACAAATCAATGTTTTGTATACTTTTTTATGTCCCATGTACACTTTATTTCTGTTTTTGCAATAAACATTTACAGATGAAAAAAAAAAGATTCAAATTGTTCCAACCCCACATGAACGCACCTCTCACCCCTCCCTTTCCAGGTGCGCAGGAGAAGCTATTGTGGCCGTCATGCTGTGTCGGTTCTTCTGCTAAATAATACGTGTGCTCCTCCATTTGTCCAAATTTCTCCTCTTTTCTTACTTTTTCTTACTAATAAACCAGTTGACTACTACTACAAGTGCTAATGTTACTTCTTCTTCTTCGTGCATATTCAACGCAGTGACAATATGGGCTCTGTAGTGCCCTTAGTTCGTTGGGCTACTGTAGAAACATGGCGGCACAACATGGCGATGTCCATGTAAGAGGTGTATATAGATAGAAATGTCTCATTCTAAGGTAATAAAACATAACGTCTTTATACACCACTGAAAACATAGTTATGTATATTATATTGTATTTCTGTCAATAAATCCTCCTAACTATTACACACTGAACCTTTAATACTGTGTCTGAATCATATCTGAAAGACAATATGATCAAAAATATAACAATTACACACCGAAAAAGGACAATATACAGTATTTACAGGCAGGTAAAAGGTAACCATATTACATAGCCAAACACCTTTGTTTACCTTGCATACACACTACAGTGTTTTTTTCAGTTTTCCTCTTTTGTCCTGTACAATTCTTTTTAAATTGACAATTTAAAAGATAAAGGTCAATGAATATCAAAAAACTATTCTTAATTCATCATTTCTGTTCAAAACATATTGCAGCAGTGTTAGAAACAGCAGCAAAGCAGGAGATCTGGCAACAAATGTATCACCAACCTTACTATTAGTATGTAAGAACAACTACCATATTTGTCTTACATATGATAAGCCAAAAATAGCACAGTGTAGCCTACAGTGTTCTGGGAAATACAGTTATTCACAGGGTGTGATTTGTGAAAAGACAGACGCATGCTGTGTTTAACGCCACAGTGAGTGGGTAAGGGGAGAGAGACTGATTTAAAAGTCTTCACTTTCAAGACTCAAAACCCCATAGCTCTGTGTTCGGGCATGTTCACTGGTGTAACAGGCGCACTGGACTGCTTGTCATCATAGAAACAGATCATCAGATTGTGAAGTTTATTGCAGCTTCAATAATGTCGGCTGCCTTCCCTTAGACAAACAGCTCCGCTGGTCCCCAGAGCAAATGTCTCGAGTGTTGGTATTGGAGCGTTCCATTTGACTTACAAAGTCGGAATTTTCGAGTTCAAAGTCGGAAAGTCGGGAGAACCGCACTACCCTGACTTCGTGACCCAAGATGGCTGCTCTGAGTGTCAACAGTTAGTGTAAGCTGTAGTTTATACTGTTTATTAGCACTTCTGTGTACTTGTGACTCATTGAAATGTTTGTACACAAAGTGCTGTCCAGCTACTGTCTGTGGATGTGTTGCTACAGTGTTTAGTAGGAGTAAATACAGCACAATGCGTTTCTTTTAATCAACTGGGGTAACAATAGCTAACATTGCTGGCCAAGCAAGGTTTTCCAACTTGTTTTTCTTTTTTTTTAAACCTGTCCTGAGTATGATGAGCTGGATTCCATATTGTGCCAGACCGATTTTACTTTAACAAGAGAGTATTAATATACTCCTTTGTCTGTTTTATTATTTATTTAATTATGTATTGATTCGTCACCGGGCCGGACAGGGGTGCAGACATGGGGATGGGGGGGCACAAACAGGCAGCACAGAGAAAGGACAACACCTGTAAGAGAAGGGGGATGGAAGGTGGGGACAACAGGGAATAGCAGAGGGAAACACCAATTGCAGACAGCAACGAAACCTGCAATAGAACAGAGAGGGGGGCTTGGGGCGGAAAAACTCGATAATAAAATAATAATAAAAGACAGAGATAAGAGATGAAAACAAGAAACAGTCAAACACAAATAAGCAACACAGCACAGCCACAAGAGCTGGAATAATAACAATTAATTTAAATAAGTAACTGAAAGAAAAGCATCAGGAATAATTCTACCAGGGACAACCTAAGTTTGTTTGTGTCTATGTGTGAGACTGTATGTGTGTGTGTGCACATGTGTGTGCGCATAAGCCTCTAAAAGAATGTAGTTGTTAGTGAGAGTGGGACGCCACGACTGTGCCGCAACGACCCCAGCCTCAGGCAGGCAAGAAACCTAATAGCCAAGAGGGGTGGGAGATAAAAAAATATATATATATAACAATATGACTCCCAAATGCACCGCCACGCAAACGCGGAAGACCCCGACTTGTTAACTGGAACGCCATCAACTGGGTGTGACATCATTCCCAGCTCAGATGGTTAGATGCAAAGCAGGATTTCAGGTTAGCAAGTTAATTTAATGATTAATCACGCATTTTCACGTATTACTGACTGAGCATAGCTGTGTGGAGCAAATGACCATATATGGAATACAGGCTCATATAATAATATGCAATAATTTTCATTTTTCATTATTCCAGTTTAAGATATCTATAATAATTCTAACCATTTTAACTTAATTAAGATATCTTGAACTGAAGGGAATTAAAGATTGTACTGGAATTGTGACAAATCAGTTTGACTGACTGTTTCTGACCCAACCCAATCATTGTGTGAAAATGTAGACACTGTGGTGCTGGGTTTGAGTTACACCATATTGACGTGTCAGTGTATCAAAGTCTAACGAGTTAATTTTCATTGATGAAGCTGTATTCAATCTAGCTAAAACCAGGCGTCAGGGCAAAATGTGCCAACAGCCTTTGTGAATGTCCCTGGGCAGCAGAGGGAAAATATCACTTTGTGTTTCATAGTTATGTACCTGCTCCCTTACTCCCCATTTCGCAGTCCAGTTGAGACTTCTTTTTGGCTTTGAATTGGAAAGTAAAAGGCCGCTGCCCACATGCCCACATGCCTCTTCTGCAAGCAATGGAGGAGGCACGTGGAGACGTTTAGGTGGGTTCAATCCACGGATGGATACAACAGGCAAGACGATATTTTCCCCGTTGCTCAGCCAGGAAGGACAGTGCAGTACAGAAGTTGTGATCCATAAAACTATTCCTTACACAACAAAAATGCCCTTTTGTTCATTTTGACACAGAAGTGAGATGTTTATCTCCAAGTGGTGTGTCTTGTTTGGCTTCTGTGTAGAGGTTTGACACAAAGGCCCAAATTTAGTATTTTTGTGTTAGCGATAAGGAAAAACTCTCATAGAAAACAGAAATGCAAAAGCCACAACCCAAATACAAAACATTTCATTGGAAGTGAGCAACAATAGATGTGGAGAAGAAAATTTAAGAAAATATGAAGGAATTGAACAATATTTGTCAATTGTGACAATCACATAGTAATTACACTAATGTTAGCTAACAAACAACATTTCACTAACTTCTCAAAGAACTGTCCTTTTCTACATGTGTAGGCAATAATAGTCCTTCATCAATAAATCTCATTACTCACTGCTGTTGCTATGTGGTGGCTTTGTGTTGTGGCTTTTGCATTTGCGCTGTGATTTTTGCATGTGATTTGTGTTTTTTCCCAGAGGTTCCCAGTGCGCTTGTGTTTTTCAAATTTGTAATTTGTTTGTTCGTCACGTCTCCGCCACCATAGATATGGCAGTGGAAAGCGATCACACATTTAAAAAATGACATAACGAAAATGTAACGTTAAAAACCCAGATTTTTGTGGGCACAAAACACAAATGTTAAAGTAGTCAGAGAGGAATACAGTTGCTATGATTTCAACACAGGAAGAACTTTCTGTGCGGACAATTGTTACCTAGCACCAGCAAAGACTTAATGGATATGCATATGAGATTATTATTTCACAGCCATATCATTCTGCTCATAATGCTTTCTGATGTGCTCAGTAATGGCCCTCTCATTATTAATCTCTTTCCTGAACATCATAATGTAACACTTTGGGGCCAAGTGACACCCAAGGATGCTGTAGCTTGAAATTAGAATGGCTGCACTTTCAATGGCTTGTTTGTACACCCCAACCAAATTGATATAAATTGGGATGAGGAGGATCCAAATAATTAAAAACAGCAGCATACTGGTGGTGATTAAACTTGCATTTTTATACAAATCTGGCAACTGTTTTCCTTTGAATGCAAACAGAAAACTAACGATGGCCAAGAAAGCGATGTAGCCCAACATCGCAATGAAGAAGTTCATAGAGCCACTGTCACACAGATGCAGGATGGTCTTGTCAAAATGTTGTTGAGTAGGCTTTGGGGGGGAAAGGAACAGCCATGGCACACACAAGGCCACCTGGATCCCGGAGACAATGGTCACCACAGCCATCGGCTTGTTGAGCTTCTGCACCCAGGGCCCTATCTTCAGGTCAAAGTTGAAGCCCACTAAGATTTGGAGCAGGTTGGCCAGAATACAGGAGATACAGAGGGTAAAGGCTATGCCGAAGAGCGGCAGGCTTACCATGCAGGAAGCCACTGTGGGTCTTCCTGAGAAGCTAAATGTAAGGCAGAAGCAGACCAGCAAGGAAAAAAGCTCCAAGAAACACAAGTAACCTCCAACAGCTTTCACAATCGGAGTGCTATGATAGATTGCAAACAAAATAGAAAAGACAATGGAAGCAATTATCCCAAAGACTCCAGAGGAACTTAAAATGATAGTGAATGGATCTGACCACTGTAGGAATTCATCAGTTTTGTTCACACACTTATCCCTCTGTGGAGATGAATACTGATCTGGACCGCAGTTTTTACATTTACCACCTATAGAAGTAAGCAAAGAAATGCACGTTTAACTGCACAAGAATATATGATTTTTGTATATTCATCATGAAAACAATCCTGAGAAATACTTTAATGTAGAATATTATGTTTTACAAAAATGAGGAAGTATCATATCACAGCATCTCATCACCCATACCGTCCAACAGTATGACAATATTTGCAAAACGCAAAACAACATTTGCAAAAACAACACAGATGACGACAATAATAATTAAATCTGATCATCATGTTTGATATACTACCCACATAAGTGAGTTATGTATTTAAACGTTTAGTATATAAACTTTCAGAAAGTATTATGCAATAATAAAATAATATAACAACCAATTTTTGGATTATAACTGGCACCTCACTTATTTAACAGAATATCCTGTATTGGCTATCGTCTTAAAACATGATGTAAAAAACATTCTTATTGCGATTTATAGCTTTGCCAGTATAAAGGTATGAGAACTGGAGAGCGGATGATCCAACTATCCTGGTCTTAAACTACGTTCACATGCAGGCCTTGAAGCTCAATTCAAGTTTATTGCTTAGATTATTTTTTAAATGTGGCCCATATCAGACTCCGGTGTGACCCGCATGGTCAAAAGAATAATACCATGTCACACGCATTCATATGGAAGTACACATGCAGGCCGCAGATTAGAGTCCATGCTTTTATTTTTAAGTTGATTTCAGGTAGAAGAAAGGTAATTCCTGGGCAAATGAAAAAAAGGACAAGGACAAGATCGAGGACGAGGAGAAAGAGTGCCACATTTTTAAGTATGGCTTTTTGTGGAGTGATTAAAATTTTAGTCTGAGTCCATGATTACATCAAGATTTCTTGCTTGGTCTGTGATCTATAACACTGGCAATGATACTGAGCACTGACTTAGAATGGTTCTTCTCTGGGTCAAAAGACAGTTATATCAGTTTTGCTTATTATTTAACAATATAAATATATACTGTATATGGGTCATTTACATATATTCAGATCTGTGACAACTGACACAAAGTAGTCCCTGCCCTTTAAATAGGATTCAAACCCATTTAACACTGTTCCAGAAAGCCCCACCCAGTTTTCCAGTCCAGTAAAATCTTGTGGTTGACTATATCGAGATCTAAAAAAATACTGACTGAAACTTTTCCACCAACAAAACCAGTCCCTCCACTGGAAATCATCAAAACAATTGTTAAGGGCCCATAAAGTGTTAAGCTCTTAAAAAAACATTCTTTTAAATAATTTTACTTAAACTATTTTATTTTATTTTATTCTATCCTTTTCTTGCTGGATTTCATGTTTAAAAATATTGTACTTCAAAAACATGGCCTTTGTGTTCACCATGAATCATAAATGTTTATGCCAGCAGGACCAATACGTTTGTTTTGAGAAAGCAGCTGAAATGCTCCATTAACAGGACAACCCATTTGTTATGTTTACCATAATTTTAGCAATCCCTTATTCCATTCTTAATGTGTGATTTGGGCCATGTAAAATAAATGCTATTAATGTTAATAACCATGGAGATTGCTTTTTAAGGCTCAGTCATATTTTTGAAAGGACTTTCACACAGGTAAATAAGTTGATCAATTTGATGCTGTATATTCACACAGCATGCACGCACACACAGACATTTTAATTAAACACTTACCATTTTCAGCGGAAAACTCTCTATCTGCACACGGAACACAATCATTGCAGCACATCTTGCCTTGGTTTTTCAGCTCCTGCCCTGGTTTACATGTTTTAGAGCAGTTGTAAGCAGTTACCTTTGAAAGACAATAACAGAATCAGTGCAACATGATATTCATAAATTATTTGAGGAAAGAAACATATGATGAAACCTTTTATCTTACCGCCACTTGGCGCAGTTTAACAAGATCTTCTGGGACTTTGATTTTTTGACCTGGCCAGAATACTCCAATAGTTTTTATGTTTGTGCCCTGTTCAGTCATGTTCCAATAAACAATATCATATCCTAAACTGGGGTCTCCATTGGAGTCAAAGAATATATGTGTGGTTTTCACAGTGAAGTTGACTTTTTTGATTTCCATAAGAAGCTGTGGAGACAAGCATAAACAAAACTACATTGATATAAAATCAGGAAATGTTTTTATTGTTGCTTCTACTCCTAGCAAAATGACAAATCATAAAACAGGAAATATTTCATGTATCAAATAGACTCCCATAAATGTATTTTGTGAATAACAAAAAAAAAAAAGAATTCTAATATCTAATTCATCAAGAATAACAAGCGGATAAGGGTATAAATCTTGAGCTACTGCTTTAAAGTCGCACATTAGCAATGCAAAATATGTCAGCAAGATCACTTTCCTGTACCTCCAAGGCTGTAAATGTGGCGTTACGTTCACATTTGTGGTTGTCACACTTCAGCAAGCGTCTGAGGCCTTCAACAATGACCTGAACAGCTAGGTAGATATTGAATGATTCATCCTGGTCAATGTAACTGGCCAAGCAGCTTAGGTCCAGACACTGCTCGGACCCCTCTTGGCTGTTTAGTGAGCAGTTACTTTCTTTGTTCTCCTCAGCTGGATTAGAACAAAGGTTCAGGTAATCTTCGAGAATGGCGTTAGTGGTTCCATTGAACATCGAGATGATGTAGTCTTTAAAACCAGGCACTTCATGCCTTTGAGAGATGAATCCAAAAACCTCCCCGGCCTTCTCGATGCCTGGCATTGCAGAGAGCTTTGTGTAGGTGGACCATGCATCACTTGCAATCCAAGTTCTGTTGAGGTTGTGTTTAATAGCTGCTTCCATGATGATACCAGCATTGACATCCTTGGTGAAGATGATGATGGCCTCTGCAGAGGACTTGCTGATGTTGGTCACCAACGAATGCAGCAAATTTTGGGTTTGGTTATTGTTCTGGGAAAAGTAACCAGGCAGGATGATGGTGAATTCAACGCAGACGTCCTTCATTTGACTGAATATGTCCACAAGGCTGTCTCTGCCATACTTCCCGTACTCATCATCACTTCCTACAATGACCACTGTTTGCCATTTAAACTGCCACACCAGCTCAGCAATGGCCTTTGTCTGATATTCATCACTAGATACCGTTCGCAGAAAAGTGGGGAACTTCAACTTTTTGCTGAGCAGCTCGCTAGTTGATCCATAGCTAATCTGTAGGAATAAATCACATTGAAATCATTCTGCATGCAGTTTGCAACCGTGATACAAGTATGTTACACAAGCATAGTTTAAATAGGAATTCTGCCATTAGCCTCAAACAATGCAAAGGCATTGAAAATATTTTGCATTTTTAACTGTAGTTAATAGAACAGTATCAAGTACAGTGAAGACAAACCTGGGTAACAGCTGACAAAGCAACAACTCGTGCAACAGCTACTGACACTTCAGAATATCTTTCACCAATTACTGCCTTTGTTTTGGGTTCAGGTAAAGCAGGTGGAACTAAAGATGGCTCTAAACAGCTCTCAGGGGTCAGCAGCTGGAGAGTTGCTCTGATGGCAAGGCTGACATCTCCGCAAGTGTCATAGATGTCATATCCTATGGTGAAGTTGGGTAGAACCCTTGGTGTGCGCTGGTTTATTTCACTGATGGCGTATATCATCACTTGAGTGCGTAGGAACATTTGGAGATCATAACTGCAAAAATTGACAGAAGACAGATGAATTTCCGAAATGATTGAATTCTATTTTAGTCACGTAAATTGACTAATTTCAGTAAGCTCATACTTACTTTCTACAGGTGAGTGGTCCCGGTGTTGTGTTTCTGTTTGTTTGTATGTGAATAGGGAAAAGTCCTCCAATGATGATGTCCCCAGGTGAGTACGCGTGCAGAAGATCCTCGCCTGAACAAGGGCAAAATACACCCATGATACTGACAAATAACCAAAAGATGAACATTGTGGATACACAGGCGTAAACACATATATGTATGCATTTGTTCCTCTCTCTTGTATGAACTGGTTTCTGGACAGCAGCTCTCATATAACTTCCCCTTGTGGGAAGTCAGACAGGCAGGACCAGTCTGAAAGAATATGTTACTCTATGCAAAACAATTTTCATACTAACACACCAAATGGCACAAGATCAAAAATATGATTAGAATTGCTCATAGAAGATGATTCATTTAAATTTTCAGTATCGTTCATTATCGCTCACCATGATCTCCTATATTCAGATGAGGCAGGTGTCTGTATTTGAATTGTGGCTCTTTTATAGGTCAATGACCCCAACAGAGAAACAATGGAGCACACTTTGCACTAGCCTACAGTCCATGAGAGGGCAAAATGCTACATGTAGACTATGGTAACTGAATATCTTGTGCCTTAAAATAAACATGTTTTAGTTCACTGTGAATCATCCCACCATTGCAAATTGTTAAGTTACCATAGAGTAATATGGAGGCCCTCATAAACAGGTCATTTTGGGCAAGAAGTCCTAAAAGTGCTTAGAATAGACTAGAGGAACATTTGAACATCTACAGTTCCCTGACAACTGAGCAACATGCATCTGCTGATGAAGACAGTGATACAGTCAAAAGCTCCAGAACAAGTGAGTTAGTTGACCTTCACTTTGGATATGTCGGCTGCTATTTCCCAGGTCAAGAATGAACTGTCAGGCTTAGAGGCCATTTCTTGCATGGTTATTGCTCATTATGTCAGCAGAGGTCAGAATTGTAAAACTTAACAAAATATGGGGCAATGTGTGTGTGTGGAATTCAAGATGGACATTTGAAGTTAAATAAAGCTACTACAATGGTTTCTTTTTTATCTGTTGAACTTCTGGAAAGACACTAAATGTGTGCAACATTAATATCTTCTTAGGAAAAATGATTACAGCTAGTGCAGACGTACTGAGATCTTTTACTTAAAATGTGAAAATAGCACCACACTGTGAGGATACCCAAGTAAAGGTCCTGCATTGATAGTTTTACAGGTTTTAGCAGCAAAATGTACTCAAGTAACAAAAGTTGAAGTACTCATTAGGTGACAGAATGGCCCCGGTCAGAATGTTAAAGTATAGTATATCGTTATTTTTACTGACCCATTATGGTGTAAGCGCCATCCTATATACTATTTTGCTTTTAGACAGTTTAAATTCAAACAACACAACGTTTTTTATAAGCTGATTTTACATTTTTTTAATAAAAATATTTCATGTTCAATCTGACTAGCACTTTAGCTGTAAAATAAATGTTGTGGAGTATGAATGTAAGGTAGCCTAGTGTAAAATGGAAATAGGCTACTCAAACAAAATACAAATACCTTTTAACTGTACCTAAATACAGTAGTAGGCTTATAGTTACTTTTCACCACTGTTTATATTCCTGATCTGCTACTACAAGTAGTAACAGTCTTATGTGAAAATCCACATTGTATTGTTTGTTAAATAAATATTAAGAGAATATGATATAATAATGCAAAAAAAGTACTGTGAATGTAAATTCATAAAGTAGCCTAATTAAGTCCTGGAAACCCAGGTCGAATGAAATAAATTCTTAGATCATTCACAGTTAGAGAAAAGTGACCACCCTCACATGTGCACTGCTTCCTTCGCTTCCTCCAAATGTCCCTGGATTGGCCTCTTGCTCCCCACGCCTTGTGGGCCGTGGACGAGATCATATAAATGCGCCACAGTCAGCTGTGTTGGTGGACCGAGGGGCAGACAGAAAACAACTGCGCGCAGGCAACATGACTTCATCAGTGTGGGGACTGCTCGGTTTCATTGGCATCCTGGTATCGGGAACTCTGGGAACTTTCCCCCAGTTTGGGTCACACGACCGGCAGATTCACTCAATTAGGCCTTTAAGCGCGTCCCCGCAAGTCCCCCCGAGGGTCAACCAGCGTTTCGGAGATATCAAATCTATTGAGCAAACCTCTGACGAAGAACCAAGTTCTGAAAGTTTTCAAGAGGTCCAGCTGGGTGATTATGGTGTCCGAGGCTTCCAGCAGCCGCAGCAGGGGGCCCGACCAGGTGCCAGCAGCTACCAGAATCAGGGGAGACGGAGAACTGAGGACGGAGGTTGGTTGGTTGGTGTTTGTGGCCTTATGGAGTAAGCTCTTTTTCAGTATCCATCCACCTGCTGTGGATGCGTGCAGAAACCTTCTAATTTGCTTCACGTGCTTTTGTCATGGTTTGTACAAGCTTTTAAATTCGGGCATAATGAAATGTAAAATATTATATTTTAACATACCAGGTTGTGTACCTGGGTAACTGCTTTGATATAAACATGAACAGTCCAGTCACAGAGATAAGCATAAAGCATAAATAACCTGTGATCTCTGAAAAAAACAGGTTTTTCAACAACACTATTCTGAAAGTGCTTTCAGAATCCAGAAGTCTATTCTGTGGATTTATAAAAACAACAAACCGATTTGGCTACTATCCCATTTGTCAATTTGCTACTATTATTCCTACTCAGAAATGACATAATGTCATTGTTCTTTCTGTAATAGGGTATGCAAGTAATACACATTGCTTTGTTGTCATTGTGTACGAAAATATAAAAAATATAAAACATCGTTTTTTATTTTCTGATGATAAGATGCTTAGCTCTGTGTGTAGATTTGAATGGTAATACACCAGATGCACAAATTGGGGCAAAGTTAAAATTAACTTATTATTTTCCACAGTCATAACTGAAATATCAAAGTACCAGTTGTGTATACATAAATATATTGTATAGTAATTAGTTAAAAAAAATTGACCAGGCTATATAGTATAACTTAGGCAATATAATTGCATCTGTAAATGTGCAGTAAAGTATATTACAGTATACTGCAGGTCTTCAACAAAAGCCCAAATGGCATGACGTTTTCCCTTCTGTGATATTTACATTGAAAAGGTATTATTAAGCTAATAATCATGTATGCATGCCCGTCATGCTGCACCTCATTTTGCTCAAGTTAAACTAAAGTAATCACTGCTGCTGTCCCCTCTGCCTTTTCCCTCTCCCTTGGCAAAGCTGGTGGCACTAATTCCAGGTTTTATCGCTATCAGCCCCCCCATCACCAGACGCTCTCACAGCTGCAACACACAGCTGCACCATTTGCATCCTGGCAGCCTGCTCGAGACTCGAGTGGCTCTCCTACATCCATCAGAACTGCCGCAGGTACTTAACTTTGGCCACAACTAACACTTCCAAAAGAAAAATGAGGTGTCATGGACAGTCTTCTCTGGCAGATTACACACATCAAATGCGCAAAACTAATATATTTGTTTTGTGAAGTTTGTTTCACATCTATTAGGGTGAAAATATTAATATTTTTCTGATACAACAGGTTCAAAATGTTTTGGAACTCATGGAACTTCAGTTCCTGGGCAAAGTTTGTTTAATCCTACTGTAGTTTCATTACAATATTATTTATTTTGCCTAGGTGTAATGGTCATAGTGGTAATAGTGAATACCAGGAGAAAAGGTTGATTATTGTTTATTACGGGATTTGATTGTGATTTCCAAGGGCGTCACTTTGTGTTGAAAAGTGGTGGGGACATTGTGGCTTAGATTAGGGGCTCTGCTAATGAGACGTGGCGATACACAATAACGGATCGACAAGAACGAGATGAGAATTTAACACTGTTTTGAAGACATCTTCAATGCTGAAATAGGACGGGGTCCTCCTCTAGAACGTTTTGAGCATTAAACACTAAATTTCCTGCCTTCTGGTGAAATTTTCTGCACCAATTTATGGTGATTTTTTTATTTATGTAAAGGGAAGTACAAAGATCAGGCAGATGACAATTCAAAATCAAAAATTGTAATGGAATATAATGCAGTCAGGCTATCAGGCAGTCTGTATTGCTTTCAGATATGAATTCTCCTGCAGATCAACTTTTCTCATTAATTACATTCCTGCTGATTCAACATACATACAGGCGTGTTTTAGTCATCCCTCCTCTTTTGTCATGTTCACGGGCCAAAAAGAAAATTGTGTCCAGAAGTTGTTAAAGTTATCGATTGGTGCATGCACATCTTTGTGTCACTCTATAATCAGTTGTAATAAAATACTTTTTTTAGCTTAAGTTACTTGGGCAATGCAGATTTGTTTCTTTTTGCAATTGCATTGCATATATTCGTATTGTGCAACTAAAGCTTTCTTGAAGCATTTTCATTTGATATTTAACATTTCTTTATACAAGCTATTTTTCAGCATCCCCAGTGTAAATGACATCTATACTGATTTTCCATTTATAGCATATGCTTGTATTCAGTCCATAGTACACTGGTGTTTTTGTGCAACTGGTACAGTGTTTGTGTACAAATGCATGCTATAGGAGAACACCAGGAGATTTATATTCTCACAAACTGTGAGAGACGTAGCACTGTATCTTAAATCCAAAAACAATGGAAAATACACTTAAACATCCATTTAAAACATGCTTTCTGTTTTTGTACAGCAACAAGGTCTAACTGCAGAAATCGGCCCATAGACTTGGTCTTCATTATAGACAGCTCCCGCAGTGTACGACCTGCTGAGTTTGAAAAGGCCAAGGAGTTCCTGCAAGACATGGTGGACAGCTTGGAGATCGGCCCAGATGCCACACGAGTCGCCTTAGTCAATTATGCCAGCACAGTGCAGATTGAGTTTCTACTGAAGACATATTTTGACAAGTCTGGCCTGAAGCAGGCGCTGGCCCGTGTTGAGCCCCTCGCTTCAGGCACCATGACAGGCCTGGCCATCAAGACTGCCATGGAGAAAGCTTTCACTGCAGAGGCAGGGTCCCGAGCTGGCTCCATGAACATCGCCAAAGTAGCCATCATAGTGACCGACGGGAGGCCCCAGGACAAGGTAGAGGATGTATCAGCAGCAGCTCGGTCATCTGGGATCGAGATCTACGCAGTGGGAGTAGACAGAGCTGATTTGATGTCCCTCCGCCTCATGGCCAGCCACCCATATGATGACCATGTCTTTTATGTGGAGACCTATGGTGTCATAGAGAAGCTCACTTCCAAATTTAGGGAAACCTTGTGTGGTAAGGATGATGAGAATGCGAGTGCGGATATTCCATTAGATGGCGGAATTGATGTTTATGGACTAGGCCTAGATGGCAGAAAAAACGGTATGTCAGACCCGTCCTTGAAATGTCACCTGTGATCATATGGGCAGCACCATAGAGGGACTCTCCATTCTAAAGTCACTAGTCCTCTTCTTTTGTCTTAAGAACTAGGGCATGGTAACCAGTGAATTACCACCACTTGTTGTGTTTGATTTTCCACAAACTGTGTTCACTAACTGTTGCCGTGCAGATGGTGATAATAAGTGGAATGCAGTCAACATCAAACAGGTATTATAAGTAATGTACTAACCAACTTAAAGAAGAAGACAGACACTAGTTGATCTGCCAATTCAGAGCAAATTCTTTAAAATGGTTGAAACCCTTATATGATGCTGCCTTTACTTTTCACAGGGAGCGCACTGCTCTTTTTATTCTGCGTTGCATCTTGCGCCTTATGCCGTTTGCCCTGCTCAGTTACCTGTAGACATGCTAAGCTGCCAGGTCCACAGTTTGGGCTTTGCAATCTGTGACACAACATTAACGGCCACTCATTCTGCAACTGAAATTCAGCTTGCGCTAAATTTGCCTACGTATTTGAGTGGAAATGTTTAGAATTTCAGAAACTTAAAAAAAAACAGGTTTTTATAATTGTTTGATTAGCCTCTAAATGCACATCATTAGATGAGAAGATTGATACCACTCTAATATCTGTTAATATATCTGTTCAATATGAAGCTGGAGCCAGCAGCAAGCTAACTTAGCAAGGATAAATAATGGAAACTGGGTAGTATAATAGTTAAAATGTTAAATTTCATTTGTTTGATCCGTATAAAAAAATTTACAATTTGCAAGAACAAGTTTCACAGTTGCTGGACTATTTCTTGGCTGACTTCTGGGTGTCTCTGTCAGTTGCCTGGCAACCTCACTGTGACAACAAGATTCCAGGAAGAAAACATGTCAAACTGTTCATATAAACAAAGCACTACATGTAATAGAGTGAAGAATGTTTACGTGTTTAAACATAATATTTATATTTAATGTAGTAGGCCTACTTAATGCTTAAGGCTACAGGAATGCTTGATCCAGCCCAAATGCTTATTGCCATGATACATTTAGGTGATATCAGAACATGGAAAATAAAAACTTGGTGCTTAGTTTTTACAATAAAAGTTTAATTCGTACGGAGTCCCCAAAAGGTCAGTGAGATTTTATTCTGAACAGCTTTTGCGCTCTCTCCCAAAAAGTTTAGCATTTTCTCGAAATAAGTTTTGTGTTCACTCCCAATTCTTTTGCAGTCCTTGGCAATATGTTGCATTATCTCGCAGTGCATTTTAAAACAGAACCATATAGACTTGAAGTGTAAAAATATGCTTTAGGTCCTGTTTACATGCGAGTAAAACATTAGTGTCCGGTGCAGACAGCTGGATGGATTAAAATATCTGTTCCGCTGGACGGACAACAGAAAAACGCGACTGAAATGCCACATGTGTAGACACGCTGGAACAATAGACACAGCTACGTATCCGTATCCTTAGCAACATTTCAGAGAATGTAAAACACTCTTGGGAAACCAAAAGCAATACCAAATGTATTGCAAGGTAATGCAGAAGTATTTCATTTAGAAAAATTCCCATCCTGACCTCTTGACGGCTCAGTACCTTTGAGTAACTGTCCACGAGTGAAACATTTATTTATTTAAGAGTGTGACCTTTTAATTTCTCTTTTCCGACTTCTGGTACCACCCAAACTAACAAGGTAACTGCTAAGGTTACCCATGCTATTCATGCAGATTTCTCCGTCGAACTTATCACACACTGGGCTTAAAATTATGACTGACTTCCAGCCCTGCAAATTCAAAATTCATTGTTTTTGAATGACATCTTGAACCTGAGTTTGTGAGTTCAGCCAACCTCTGTGTATCACTGAGACCAACTTCTGTCTCCCCACAACAATGACATCACTACTAAAGACATGCAATTATTATGACGGAAGTGTTTCCTTCAGAACATTTTGTGTTTGCATGGTCTGAACTAAAAATAGATACAAAATTAATTCACTCTTGTATCACTATATTTAAAGCACAGATATTAAGCAAACTAACCTGCATGTGGCTTTGTAGAATTAAAAACAATTAATCAATACCTACTTACACCTCACCAACACAAAAGGAATAACACAAAGTGATTGATTTTACTAGGCTTAAGCCAATCAGACATTGGAGTGTTTCTTTTCAGGTTTGGATCCATGTGCTCAGGGACACAATTGCCAGCACATTTGTGTCAACAATGGCAACTCATACAACTGCAAATGTCGTGCGGGCTATGTCTTGAACACGGACAAGAAAACATGCTCACGTAAGAATCTTTATCTTTGTCTTAATGGTTTTTGTCCAAATGTCTGTCACAAAATCTCACTGTGTTTTTAGAGGATTCGTTATCTGAAAACACCTGCTGAAAAAGACAATTTTGTTTTAAAGAAATAAAAAATATATATTTGGGATTGGATGGGAAAAGCCGTATTAGAGGTATAAATATCTAACTTTTAAAATCTTTGTCAGAACTTTGAACATTGGAAATCCAAGTTCATAAGCTTTTGAAGCACTCTATGGACATCAGTTAGTTCCGCACGTTGTGCTGTGGACACACTGCATACCATCTCTTGTTACTAATGTTTTGGGTTGCCCTAAATAGATTAGGGCTGACACTATTCAGTACAAATTAAATGAGCAGGACATGATGACGGCCTAGTTTTGAAGACCCTGCTCTAAACTGAATCCAAGACTATGTCAGTCAGATGTGGGAGTGTCTCTTTTCAGGTTCAGATACATGTTCCCAGAGACATGACTGCCAGCACATTTGTATCAGCAATGGTGACTCATACACCTGCAAGTGTCGGGTGGGATACGTGTTGAATGCAGACCAGAAAACATGCTCACGTAAGATCATACATTTTCTCAAATTTCTCTGATTTTAATTTTAGCTTTTGAGACAACTATATTTGTTGTTTGTTTTGAACCTGGAAATATGTTCATTGCTTGCTGCCAACTTTTGTCATGAGATGTCAGTTACATGTGTCTCATTTCAGGTTCTACTTCATGTTCCCATGGACATGATTGCCAGCACATTTGTGAAAACAATGTTGACTCGTACATCTGCAAGTGTCGTGTGGGATATAAGTTAAATGCAGACCAGAAAACATGCTCACGTAAGAACTTGGACCTTATGATATGCATGGCTTAGTGCAGTATCACTGGTTAACTAAAGATTTTTAGAAATGCTTGGTTAAAGGCAGAAAAAGGCTTAAAGCATTTGGCGAACGCATCACATTTTTTTTTCAATCAATGCTTGTCTTTCCTGATGGTGGAAGTGTTAGCTCTGGAAGTGTCTGTTTTCAGGTTTGGAAACATGCGACCAGGGACATAACTGCCAGCATATTTGTATCACAAAGGGTGATTCATACCTTTGCATGTGCCGTGAAGGATATGTGTTAAATCCAGACCAGGAAACATGCTCACGTAAGAACCAGATTTTGACATATACATTTTATATGCATGTCGGAATTCAGTGTTTTGGTTTTCACTCAAAGTCTGTTTTCTACTTGAGGAAATGTTTTAGAATGAATTTTCTGGAGCATTCAAAATACCTGAACCTATTGGTGTTTGCAGCCAAAAGTTTGTTTTGGACGGAAAAAGTTGGTGAAACACTGATGTAGGCTATGTGGACCCACATAAATCAATAGGTTGTGGGTTGTTCTAAGGATTAGGAAGTAAGAATTCAATTTATTTTGAATGATCAGGAAGTTGGGAGACTGAGACTGATGCGCCTACAGGTATAGAGCACCTGGCCATGACTTAAACTATGAATTGACTGGTGAAGCTTTAATTAAGCCAGTGTGGATGTCTCTTTTCAGGTTTGGATTCATGTTCCCAGGGACATGACTGCCAGCATATTTGTGTCAGCAATGATAATTCGTACATCTGCAAATGTCAAGTGGGATACGTGTTGAACGCAGACCAGAAAACGTGTTCACGTAAGAACCTGGGCTTTATCATGAGATTTGATATGCATGTCATAGCGCTGTCTGTGGTTAACTACAATTTTGACTGTTGTATATACTTGAATAAATGCAGAAAGAGACATTGAGCATTTGGCCATGGCCTTTTTATATTTTTAAATCAATTTTGGCAATCATATAATTCACCAAGGAAGTTAGCTTTGGATTTTAGCTGTGGATTATGTACTTTAGAGCCAAAAAAAATCTAAATTATCCTGTTAGCAATTGTCTAAAGGAAGATCTGCAAAGTTGAACCCTAGTTAAAGCCCACTTAAAGGGAGATGTGCAAGTGTATGAAATGCAACTGACTCAGGGCTCCTTGGCTGATGTAGTTAGACTAGTTGGTTAGATGTGAAAGTGTTTCTTTTCAGGTTCAGATGCATGTGCCCATGGACATGACTGCCAACATATTTGTGTCAGCAATAATGACTCGTACATCTGCACATGTCAAGAGGGATATGTGTTGAATGCAGACCAGAAAACATGCTCACGTAAGAACCACAATATTTTTCCTAGATTTGTTGTCTGTCTTTTGGTCAGTTCCTATGTGTTTTGCACGATTAAAGGTTTCTATATACCAGACATAGCAAAATATGGCTCTTTCTACGGTGGACACCTCTTAGCTTGTTTATCTGAACGGTAAAAGTAATAATTGCCAATCAAATGCTCTACAATAAGTAGAACAATGAGGGCTTCATGTCATGTGGGAGTTTTTTCTTTTCAGGTTTGGACTCATGTTCCCAGGGACATGACTGCCAGCATATTTGTGTCAACACTGATCATTCGTACATCTGCAAATGTCGAATGGGATATGTTTTGAATGCAGACCAGAAAACATGCCAACTTAAGAACCTGGACATTTCAGGTAGACTTTATGTTTATATCATGTTTTTTTTTTTTTAAACAAAATCTGTAGAAACACATTGGCTTGGCTCTTTTCCCAGTCTTTTTGTTGTTGAAGTATTCTTGGTGCCACCACAGCAGCTATTGAAAGGAACTGACCTTAAGGCTTTTCTACACTGGCTTCTGCTCCAGTTATGGCAGATGCTACTTGGGTTCGGGTTATTCTGAAAAGTGGGAAGTAAATGCTCAGTTCAGCTTGAATTTGTAAAGGGTCAGGCACAGATCAGCAACAGTGTGAGCAGTGTACAAGTTGGTTGTTGTTGAGACAGTTACATGTAGAATTGTCTCTTTTCAGAATTGGATACGTGTGTCCAGGGAAATGACTGCGACCATATTTGTGTCAAAAATGCCGACTCTTACCTTTGTATGTGTCACGAGGGATATGTGTTGAATGCAGACCAGAAAACATGCTCACGTAAGGACCCTTACAAATAGCTTTCACGTCCATCGCTTGGTGCAGTGTCCCTAAGTTCATTATTATTGGTACCTGAGTAAATGTAGAACCCATTCTGTGGAGCACAGCACTGCAGCATGTATGCAGCAGTCAATATTGAGTTTATTTGAAAGAGCATAAAATTAGGAAACTGGGAGTGATGCACAGAGAGTGTGAGCAAATGGCCCTGAATTATAAATTTGAATGGCCCATTAACATCTCAGCTATGATTTGCTTGACTGATGTAATTCGACTGAGTGTGCTTCATTTGGGAGTGTCTGTTTTCAGGTTCAACTACATGTGCCCAGGGAAATGACTGCCAGCATGTTTGTGTAAACACTGATGATTCTTACATCTGCAAGTGTCATTTGGGATATGTATTGAATGCTGACCAGAAAACATGCTCACGTAAGCAACTTTACCCTTTAATTAGATTTGGAGTGTATGTTTTTATGAAGTGTCTATATCTGCAAGCATTTATTGGATTTTAACTGCAGACCAGAAAACATGCCTTGTGAGATTTGATATGCATGTCTTAGGGCAGCGTCTTTGGTTTATGACAATCATTACTTCAGTACTTGATCAAATACAGAAACCACCAGGTCTTGCTGTTTGAAAGACACGTTGTAATGTGGACTGTAATTGTGAAGGACCAGAAATTGTTGAGGTAGAGTGCAGACTTTCTTTATGCCTGTTGTGACTAATATTACACTTTGCTCTTAAAACTTTCACACAGTCAGCTGTTGAGCTCAGCCTAAATAACTCAGAGACTTGGGAGACTTGATTGATACAGAAAGAGGAACAAAATGAAACCACAGCTAGCATCAGTAGTAAAAGGAACAATGGCCAGACTGATGCTACAACAGTCCAGGCTCTTCTTAACTGATGTCATGAGATGTCAGTTACATGTGTCTCATTTCAGGTTCTACTTCATGTTCCCATGGACATGATTGCCAGCACATTTGTGAAAACAATGTTGACTCGTACATCTGCAAGTGTCGTGTGGGATATAAGTTAAATGCAGACCAGAAAACATGCTCACGTAAGAACTTAGACCTTATGATATGCATGGCTTAGTGCAGTATCACTGGTTAACTAAAGATTTTTAGAAATGCTTGGTTAAAGGCAGAAAAAGGCTTAAAGCATTTGGCGAACGCATCACATTTTTTTTCAATCAATGCTTGTCTTTCCTGATGGTGGAAGTGTTAGCTCTGGAAGTGTCTGTTTTCAGGTTTGGAAACATGCGACCAGGGACATAACTGCCAGCATATTTGTATCACAAAGGGTGATTCATACCTTTGCATGTGCCGTGAAGGATATGTGTTAAATCCAGACCAGGAAACATGCTCACGTAAGAACCAGATTTTGACATATACATTTTATATGCATGTCGGAATTCAGTGTTTTGGTTTTCACTCAAAGTCTGTTTTCTACTTGAGGAAATGTTTTAGAATGAATTTTCTGGAGCATTCAAAATACCTGAACCTATTGGTGTTTGCAGCCAAAAGTTTGTTTTGGACGGAAAAAGTTGGTGAAACACTGATGTAGGCTATGTGGACCCACATAAATCAATAGGTTGTGGGTTGTTCTAAGGATTAGGAAGTAAAAATTTTGAATGATCAGGAAGTTGGGAGACTGAGACTGATGCGCCTACAGGTATAGAGCACATGGCCATGACTTAAACTATGAATTGACTGGTGAAGCTTTAATTAAGTCAGTGTGGATGTCTCTTTTCAGGTTTGGATTCATGTTCCCAGGGACATGACTGCCAGCATATTTGTGTCAGCAATGATAATTCGTACATCTGCAAATGTCAAGTGGGATACGTGTTGAACGCAGACCAGAAAACGTGTTCACGTAAGAACCTGGGCTTTATCATGAGATTTGATATGCATGTCATAGCGCACTGTCTGTGGTTAACTACAATTTTGACTGTTGTATATACTTGAATAAATGCAGAAAGAGACATTGAGCATTTGGCCATGGCCTTTTTATATTTTTAAATCAATTTTGGCAATCATATAATTCACCAAGGAAGTTAGCTTTGGATTTTAGCTGTGGAAGTTCTCTTTTCAGGTTCAGATGCATGTACCCAGGGACATGACTGCCAACATATTTGTGTCAAAGATGGCGATTCTCACCTTTGCATATGTCATGAGGGTTATGTGTTGAATGCAGACCAGAAAACATGCTCACGTAAGCACCTGAATTTTAACTGTATACTGTGTTTGATATGCATGCTCTTGTACAAAGTGAATAGTGAACGTGTTTTGAACGAGCAGCAAGTGGGGCTGAGTAATGCACATTTGGAGTACCTACTGATCACTAAAAAGTGGAAATGGAACGGTGGAGTGGAATGTGTGGATTTCATACTAGAAATACCCCTTTGTTTGTTAGTGCTCCTGGCTGTTGTAACAGCAGTCGGTACAGTCGTTAGAGTCACCTGAGTCCAGATGTGAGTGTTTGGTAAATCTCCTGGGATGAAAGGACAGTATTGTCGTTGGGGGATAAATGTGTTGCAGGCCTCCTCCCCATGTTAAGTGATGGTCTCTCCTATTTGATGTAGATGGTTTCCTTCACTCCTCCTCTTTCAAACCTCTCTTACCTATCCAAAATATATACATCGTTGTTCTCGAAACGAGTGTCCCCTGTCCTTCGGGTGTAGGTAAACTGCTGAGTCATGACCTGAGGAATTGGCCCTTCTGTGTTGGGCCATGCGTTTGTCTAATGGTTGTTTACTTTCCCCGATATATAGGTCACTGCACTGGACAGCGTACACTAGATTGGTTTCTTGTGCTTGGGTGTGCAGTCTTTTGGGTGGACTGACTGTCTTAACATAGTGCTGGTGTTCTTCATAGATCCCGTGGCTGTTTCCCCAAAAGGTCCAGTTTGACGATCCACAAGCTTTAAGTGCATCCTTGAGGTGTTAATGTTCCTTCTGCTGGGCCTTGGCACTTGTTGGTCTGTTATAAGCTCAGTGGTCTCAATAACCCCTAGCTTATGCTCCAGTGGGTGGTTAGTCAGAGAGTTAAGTATTGGTCTGTGTGTGGGTTTCCTGTAAACTCCTATGTAGAATCTTCTGTCCTCTTCATTGTGTACGGCACAGTCCAAGAAGGCCAAACTGTTGTTCCCCTCGTGTGAACTTGACATTACTGTCCACTGAGTTGATGTGTTCTGTAAAGGTTTGCACTTACTGGGTTTTAATTTTGACCCATGTGTCATCCACATATCTGTACCATTGCCGTGGTGCTGTTCCTCTGAAAGAGTTCAGAGCTCTGCATATTACTTCTTGTAGATGTTGGCCATGATAGGTGATACTGGTGAGCCCACGGCACAGCCATGTAGTCTGTAGAATCCCCAGTTGTATTAGAAATAGGTGGTGTTCAAGCAAAGGTTTAGCCGCTGATACCATCAACATGAGTCTTTCTGCTTCCGACACGTTGTTTTTGTTGTTGTTTGTTGTTAACACAGACCAGATAGGACAATGAAAGTCTGAGTTTCAAGTCCATGCCCTGGTACAAAATGAAGTGCTTACCTAAATTTTACAGAGGCCTTTTTCTAGATTATTAATAAAATCTTGGAGTATTGGGGTCTCTCTTTTTAAAATTGTATACCCGTGCCGAGGGACATGATGGAGATGGATTGTAGCATCAACTGTAATAGAAACAATGACCAGACAGAGGCTTCAACACTCCAAGCTCTGCTTAAATGATGCCATATCACATGTGGACATGTTTCTTTTCAGGTTCTGATCCATGTGCCCATGGACATGATTGCCAGCACATTTGTATAAACAGTGATGACTCGTACATCTGCAAGTGTCGAGTGGGATATATTTTGAATCCAGACAACAAAACATGCTCACGTAAGAAGTGTTTCTCTTCAGGTTCAGACAAATGTGCCCAGGGACATGACTGCCAACATATTTGTGTCAGCACTAATGACTCATTTGTGTTGGACCTCTCTAAAATATATTATTCTCTTCTTTGGTACAGTGTATTAGATTTGCTTCAAATCTCACTATGTTCTTTTCTGCTGTGAAACTGTAAAAAGATAAAAGGGTTGATTGGTGCAGCAGCTTTAAATGTTAAGGCTAGACTGTTGTGAGAACCCAAATGCAGGACACAGCACACTGAGTCAGATACTAGAGTTGAGAAGGATTTGTAAACACAATACTTGATAGTGAATGCCAGCAGTATATGATTCTGGGGAGGTTTGGGTTTGAGCTATGAGCCAGAGGAGAGCGCAGTACCAGGCAGGGAAGCAGATAGTTTAATCGGGCAGGGGACGTCCAGAGATCCAGAGAGTGAAGTCCAATCCCGATTAAGAGTCCAGAGATTCAGGGATAAGCAGTCAGGTTCCAAGGCAAACAGGAGCAGAGCAGAGGCAGGAGACGGGACCAGTCGTGGAGAACAGGAATTAGCCAAACTACAAAAAAAACACACACACAAAGCAGAATGCCAACGCTGGTGCAAGACTAACTAGGTAGCTGAGCCCACAATCTGGCAGTGTGTTGAGGCAGGAACCACATATTTGAAGCAGAACAGAGTAATGATGATGATTGGCAGCTGGACCAACTCCTGCACACCTGGCTCCACTGTAATCAATTGTACATACCATACACACCATAGATTTCATGATACTCCCGTTTAAAGGAAATTGGTCGGGGAGGGGGGTTCTCAACGGTCAAGAGCTTCTTGACTGATGGTGGTAGTCTAAGTCAGATGTGGAAGTGCTTCTTTCCAGGATTGGATGCATGTGCCCAGGGACATGATTGCCAGCAGATTTGTGTCAACAGTGATGACTCGTATCTCTGCAAGTGTCCTATGGGATATGTATTGAATGCTGACCGGAAAACATGCTCACGTAAGCACCTAATTTGTTTCAATATGCATATTTTGTGGCTGTGGTGTGATCCACCATCTCAGATATTCCACAAAGCACCATGCTTGGATCTTCAAAGCGTGGTCAGAGCACCAAAAGCTCCAACTGGAGAGTAGGAGGTGTTGAGGCAGTTTGTCTTGTGGACACACCTCATATCAACTCTTTTGAGACCAGTGTGTATAAGCAGGAGATTTAGAGACTGTGAATGTTGAAATGTATTGGTCACATGGCTAAGACATCCACTTCTTTTGAAGTGAAGTGTGTCCAAAGGCTCTGCAAAAAGCTAAGTGACTGTTTTTGAAGTCACTGAGGTGTGAGCTTTTCTTTTCAGGTTTGGAAGCATGTGCCCAGGGACATGACTGCCAGCACATTTGTGTCAACAATGGGAACTCCTATATCTGCAAGTGTCGAGTGGGATATGTGTTGAACATGGATCAGAAAACATGCTCACGTAAGAAAGTTCTTTGTTTCAAGTAAACATTGTTACAGTGACATCTGCAACAAGCACTGCTGTGGCACTTGTTATGCTAGACACATACTATCATGTTTTGGCAAGGGATACCATGATTATTAAAGGTGGGGTATGTGATTCCAGAGAAATCCAATACTATGACAAATACCATGATATAGAGTGAACAACGACACAGTTGCTGCTTAGAAGCTAACATGCAGAGATGGCAAGACAAGCAGTAAAACAAAACATAGTGTTCAGTAGCTTTATTGTATTGTACATTCACTATAGCCATCTTGATTCTATGACAGTGCCACATAGTGGTATAAAGTTGCACATATACAATATAAATGATGGAACACAACAGAGACAGTCCCAGAACCAGCACACCAGCTCCAGACAGCAATACTTACAACTGTCCTGCAGCAATAGCAAACATCACAACAACAGCATGTCTTGGCAAACTAGAAAGTAAGCTGAATGTCCATGTGCAAGCCATTTGACATGACCTGACACACAAACCATGGCTGATTTTTGTAGTATTATGTGGCTTGGTACGAGCCACTTTTTTTGTTTCCCATTTTCAGATAAGATTTTTTTCAGCACACACACAGAACGGACAGCTAGCAGACCGTGAGGAGATATTCTCTAAATTTGACAAAATGATGTGTATTGGATTAGAATACCGCGCCTTTAAGATAATGATAACCTAGATCTCCTTTACCATGATGTCTTAGACCAAGTCAGTTAAATGTGGTAGTGTCTCTTCACAGGTTCAGATGCGTGCGCTCAGGGACATGACTGCCAGCATATTTGTATCAACAATGGTGACACCTACAACTGCAAGTGTCGAGTGGGATACGTGTTGAATGCAGATCAGAAAACATGCTCACGTAAGGATTTTGTCAACGTACATAATGGTACCTGTATATTGAAACCTTGCAAAAGATTTTCCATAGTTTGAATCAGCTCTAGCCTCAGGAATGTGTCACGCAAGCCTCTTAAATTATTGGCTTGTTGAGTTCGGCTGAACTGAGAAAATTTGCCAGACTGGCACTAACTTAATAAAAAGTGTGGCATACATGGACATGGTTTTCATGGGTACTTGAAGGAACTATGAGCGTCCAAGTTTCGACAGCAGGCCAAGGGCCCCTTGAACACTCTTTCCTTGTGATACTTGAAGAGGCGTTATCAAAGACCAGTTGGACCATGTGCTTGACTTGACAAGAACCAATCGCAAACCATCTTAAAGTATGTAAGATGATTCAAGGTGAGATGCTAGTTTTACAAATGCTGTCTTTTTTGCTCTCTTACAATCCAATGTAGATATCCTCTATATTATATCATCTTTCACCCAGGCTTTGCCCTCTATAGGCTTGAGTAGTACTGAAATTTGCATTTGTGTGGTCTGCATATCAGGATGAGCCTAACCTTTAGTATGGAAGCTGGTCTGACTGTAAACAAGGACATATTGACTTCACTCTTAGACAATACCAGTCACTAGGACAATGTCCATATGGTGGTCCTTCTCTTACTTGGACTTATTGCAGCACCATGAGAGCAGGGCATCCACCATGCTATTACTGGCAACATGAACAGTCCAGAATGTAGGACATTATAGCGATGATGGTACTTTTCCAATGCTAAATCGATCAATCCGGACAATAGAGTGTGCTCTGTTGATATTCTGGCTCAGAAGGCAATACCAGGCGCCAGGAATTTAGCTCGTATCTTACCAGGTCAAATAGCTAAACTACCTTGCCTGTGATTTTGCCACAACCATAGGTGGTTCCATGGCTTCACCACTGGCTGTACCAGGCTTGGTATAACATGACAGCCCAACAGTAATGACACTACAGAGTCCTCCTTCCTTTGAAGGTGGCCAAAATTGTGGCAACAAAGAATGAGAGCCTGTTTCTCACTGGTCCCAAGAATGTGCCATGATTCATACAGTTCAATTGTATCAGGTTAGGGTTTGCTGTTAGCTAGAAGAATTTATTTTTATTTTTATTTAATGACAACAGGTTTAAGGATTGATATACTGTGTGTATGTATAACTATTGCATATGAATATTGAGTCTGGATATAACAAATTAGTTTAGTGTTACTGAAAAGATGAAGATAAGTAATTTTTCAACTTATTCTATATTATTCCAAAATTCTACCAGAACTGGAAACTGAAACTTAGTGGGAAGAAACACAAAGCATCACTAGTGAAAACAACACAGCCATGATATGTGGTTACATTTCACATTTTTGAGGTGCACACATCTAGCAATTGTGTATCCATGTTAAGACATTGCAACATCTCAATGGAGAACCATAAATTCCCAGCATAAATAAAATAGAATTATGTTTAAGGATTGTCACCCAATTCTTTGACAACAGGTCTGCAACCCTTCCACAAAAAACAGCCAATGCATTTGTCAATGCATATTGTATTGTTAAATAGAGTCAGCCTCCACAGACAAGAAAAATCTCTCACTAATTGTCTATACTCACATGTGTAAATTTCAGTGCATGCCTCCAGGTTGGTGTTTGGTCAATCCTATGACACTGATACAAGGCTTTGTGTATAGATTTAGGCCTACAATGCGTTAACCTATATTTTGATAACTACATACCTTTCACATCTGTCTTTTTGCATTCTTTAGTCATTGAGAAGTCTGCACTTGACTGCAACCAAAGCTACTGTGTCAACAAGCAATACTACTACTGATCCAGCCATTTACAGCACAGTTTACAGGAAATAAATGTGTGCTGTGCTGCTGGCTTAAGGAATGAGAGATTGCTAAAACAATGGAAGTTGTGGGTTGAGCCCACTGAGAACTTTGGACCAAGTAAAGGACCAGAACAAATTGGTTGTAATTGATTTGCCTGTTGTCTGCTGTGATTGTTTCTTTTTCAGTGAATTGGTATCGTATGTATATGTGAGTATACCGCTCAAACAATTATTAACGTGTTCTCTTTAAAGTAGTCACACCTGACCTCAGTTACTATGCACTCTTAGGTTGTGATTAACAAGCTGAAGTGATAAATTTTCTAATTTCACTCACAAAATAAAAATCATGGTTTTATCTGATCTCCGCTATCTTGTTGAATCAAAATCCATTATGCTCATGATTTTGTCAGCCGCAAAATATTTTCATATTGAACAACGACATCGGTTTATAAGGAAGTTGACCGTCGATCCACAAAGAGGAACATAAGATGGGCTGTGTTTTTTAGCTATATGGAGTACTGCAAAGATGATACACTGAACATTGTGAAACCACCACATGCTTTGACTTTTAACAATATTTTTCTGTTTCTTTCAGAGGAAATGAGAAGTGAAATAACCCAAGATGCCTGCATGTGTGAAGCTCAGATTGTGTTCCAGAAAAAAGTACAGTCAACCATTCAGGAGCTGAGCAGAAAGCATATCCTTTTGTGTGGAAGGCTTAGAGGGATCCATAGTTTGAATTTGATATAACATTTTAAAATTATTATTATTATATTATTATTATTAGAGATGCACCGAATGTTCGGCCACCAAAATTAATCGGCCAAAATAGCCAAAAAAAAAGCACTTTCGGCGTTTGGCCTAATAAGTCAAAAGATTGAAGAAATTTTACTGAACAATTACGCTGACATGTCGGCAGTGTGGAAGCATTTTAAAGTGTCAGAGAAAGACACAAAAATGACAGTTTGCAGACACTGTTCTGCTGAATTGTCTCCTAGCACATCCACTCCATCTGTGGCTGACTTTATAGAAAAGAACCGCTTTGAGTGTTTCTGTCACCATTTGGGAGAAGGTGATTAAGCTAGCCGCACCTATATTTGGAATGCAAGTGTATTCAAGCCTTTATGGTAAATGAACTGAAACGGACCAGTGCGAGCTGACAGGCAGGTTAGCGACTTTATCCTGATGTCTGTGAAGATTCTCAGTCATCCAGGTCATAGTTATCCAATGAAGGTTAAAGTCAAGGGCAACTGGACTTGGATGAAGATACTGGAAGACGTTTCGTCCCTCATCCAAAGGACTTCTGTTACAGCAATCAGGAACACTAACGAACCAGCAGTATCGACGATCCTGGCAAACGACCCCACTGATGTTAAATAGCTGAGTTTCCCTACCAGTCAGTCAGAACTGAAGAAGTCCTTTGGATGAGGGACGAAACGTCTTCCAGTATCCTCAACCAAGTCCAGTTGCCCTTGACTTTAACCTTCGTTGGATGGTTTATCCTGTCAGTTTCTCTCTTTACAAAGACAAGTGTTGCTGTATGAGAGTCCTACCTGAAGAGAGGATGTAAAGTATTCATGTTACGTGATACAAGAACCACATACAACATTATTTATCAAAATGGGTCGGACTTGATGAATTTTGTGTGAGGATACACATGTGACAATGTCCGCTTTTCAAAATAAGGCGTCTATGCAGTATGGAAAAAAGATTAATTGGATTATATTCACAGAAAGTATAAAACATATTACATGTGTCAATTAAAAGTAAAGGGACACATCTAATTTACTTTACCGGACCCTCTCGGGCCTCGGACCCATCCACCACAGTCTCTCCAAATCCTGTGGGAAACACTGAATAAAAAGCACATTTTGACTATTAAATTTATGAAATGGTAAAAAAAAATTAAAAACCTTCAGTATTCATTATTTGGGAAAGTTTTTCATTATATTCGGTTTCGGCTTCGACCAAGAATTTTCATTTCAGTACATCCCTATTTATTATGTGAGACATTTGCACTAGCTTGGGAAGCTGCTATAATCACTTTGTCGTATTTGTACATTTAATAACAGTAAGTTGAATCAGAATCTAAAGTTTGAGTGTCTTGATTTTTAATTTGTAGTCATTAATTTTTACAAATGCCCAGTGTCCCGATGAAATGGTAAACATCACATATACACCTTTAAATTCTATTTCCTTGACTGTCTGTTCACTTGATGAACTTTCAGACAAAGTAAACCTGATTGAGGACCAGCAGCAGTATTAAGAACAGCGATGAAGATTTCATAAGACATGTTCAGGACTAGCAGTGCATTTTTTTTTTTTTTGACCTGCTGAAGTCATCTTTTAATGTTTCAGTAAAAATGTCTAAGATGGTCTGCATGGTATTGATTACTAATGCAGTATACTTTTAGCATTACTGTTGTGGATTGTGCATTTTTCATTCACAACACTGTTACGTCTTTCAGTGAAGTCAGGTATAACTGTATTACTGGTGTAAATGTTTACATATACTTGTATTTTTTCCTCCTAACAGTGTAAGCCATTGAGTTGAGACTCAAACTACGTAAGATACTTTAGGAAGTTATAGAATTGATAGAAGTGCAAACTTTTAAAAATATATATGAAGAATTGTTCAACAGTTTACTTTCACAATGAATGTTTTTTTGTGGGAAACTGTTGTACCACATCGTTCTCCGAGAGCATTTCTTGGTCAGTGTACTTGTATTCTTGGTAGAACACAAAGCCGCCATCCATAACAACTAATCTCTTATACAACAAGAGCATTGTTGTTACCTATCTGATTGCAGCACTATTAAGTAGACCAAAAGAAAGCCTGATCCAGTTGGTCCTAGCAGTGTTATCTATAATCCTTTCCTTTGATACCTGAAATATTTCAAGAACTGTATTGCACAACACTGATTAGAAATTAATGTTTTGTTTGTAACAGATAGGTGTGATTGTTTTGGTAGGAGAGGGAAAACAGTTTAGGGAGTTCAAGGATGATTGGGCCATGATTTTCACACTTGGCAAGGCTTGGATCAAGACTTTCTTGTAGCAGTCCTGGCAATTAAAGTCTTTTTTTGATGCACTTAAGTTTTGAAACCGTGAGCTAAGATCAGTTAAAACAGTATTGTACAGTATTTTCTTCATACAACACACACATGCACTGTATTTTCTACTTCGTCATAGCCATGGAACACATGTGAAACAAAGTGAATTGGGTATTTGTGGTGGGAAACTGAGTTATGTGCATGACATATTTTGGTGCTCTTGTGATAGAAAGCAACTTGCCTGTGTATTTGTATTGGAAGTATAGTTGCACATAAATAAATATTCTGAAATAATGGATCCTATACATCTCTTTTGTGTATTGTGGGTTACACCAAAGGCATATTTAAAATTAATACAATTATTATACCATCCCAGAACAAATCTGTCCATCTTGGGAGTGACTTTGATACCTTCACTTGACTCACTTTTTGCAAAATTGTATTATAATTATATATAGGCTGTTTTTTTTTATGGTGGTCAGTTAGGTAGTGGGTCAACTACGTTTTCACAGCAGGCTTAAGTAAGTGCAAGACAACCCTGCAAAGCTAAATAAAGCTCAAAACTCTCAAATAAAACAGGAGTGACGATCCTACAAAATTAATGTCTATCAGAAGTACACGAACAAGAAAAACTACAATTACCAGAAAGACCCCAAACCCAACGCTTCCGGTTTACGGTTACCACGGGAGACAGAGGGAAGCTAAAGCATCGAGTACTGCAGTCCTCCAGTACAAGCGATGAAACGTCGAATTTGAACAGTTTTTCCAATACATTCGCCTACGTTATTCGCTATAATTGTAGTCGGCCATTTCATTGATGAGGGTACATTTAATGGTAACTGCCTCTGGTACTCGGTATCTGCCGCGTTAAGTAGTTAACGTTAACTAGCAAAGCTAAGTGGATAAGCTAACGTTAACGTTAAATTTACCATATCGAGGCCCGCATGATGTAGCTAGGTTGAAAAAGTTAACGTTAGCTGTCTAGTTTAGTACATAGCGTTGGGTAAGTGTCTGTTGATGCTAGTATAACTACGCTGTACGCAATTCATCTCGTCTGAAACGACATTAACGTTACCACCACCATGTTTATCTACCTCAGCAAGAAGGTTAGTGCCTTACACCTCTCGGTCTTCTACCTAACGTTGACCAACTATATAAAACTTCAGCAAAGACATAGATGTTGGTAACAGTGTGGCTTACATTTCCCGTGTTTTATAGATTGCTATCCCCAACAATATCCATCTAAAATGTGTCTCCTGGAACAAAGATCAAGGCTTCATTGCTTGTGGAGGAGACGATGGTCTCCTCAGAGTGCTCAAGCTTGAAACTCAGACAGGTAAGTTCAGTGGATGGAAATAACGGTGTGCACAGTACTGGTGTAAGCTCATGGTTTCAACTCATACAATACACAATGCAAACTTGTTTGACATGTGCTGGATAAAAAAAAAAAACATATCCTACCTAAAACGACTGGAATAACTTACTTCCACTCATAGCTGAAAAAATTGTTGGGTGGTTAGTCCATTTCTAGTATCTGAGATTGGTAAGACTTGGTTACATAATAACACTTATATGACATAACAACAACAACAACAACAACGATGATGATGATGATGATGATGATGATGATGATGATGATATAAATAAATCCAGTGTAGTAAAAGGCTAAAAGGACAACATGTGTAAAAGTTGTTATAAAGAAATCCACTGTTGATTACACAATAATCTGATGTTGGCTGGGCCTGGTTTCACTTGTGACAGTATGTGTCCTTGTTCACATTTAAACATTCAACATATATACATTTTTTATTGCTGTTATTTCGCTTTAATAAAATCAGTCAGCTAAATGACATTGCAAACGCAAACTTTTTGGAGTTTTGTTTAATAATGTTCCATACATTCAGCTTTTTGTTCTTCTGTCACAGTCAAAGCTGTTATGTAATAGCCATGTGAGTGAGATTTGAGGGTTTCTGAAACAATGATTTCTTACATTGTTTAAGAAATCTTCTGAAACTTTCATAATCTTTTTGGCTCTGCCCTGGTGCCTCAGTGTCCACTCACAGTTAGTTAGTAGAAATGGCACTAACTTGTCCACTCCGTCTGTTGCACAGACCTGCTATTGTGTTGCTATGTTAAACAAACAGAGACGACCACCAACAGTAATGTGCAACAATCAGTAAAACGTCTGCTGGTATTTAACTACTGTTCCAATGCTGTAGATGAGTGCTGCCCATTGTAAAAAGTTTTTTTAAAAATTCCCCCATAGAGAAGCTTGAACATTGTTGACGTTCTGAACCTGACCTCTTTTAATGCTTTGTCAACAGATGATGCCAAACTTAAAGGTCTCGCTGCACCCAGTAATCTGTCAATGAACCAGACTCTAGAGGGACACAGTGGTAAGTTATATTTAGTAGTTGGCAAACCCATTATCAATATATTTAAGTAACAGGCAGCATCCACAAAATTTAAAGTTTATACAGGAGCCACAGGAAATGTATCTGACACTTTATGATTAATACATTGCAGGCGCAGTGCAAGTGGTCACATGGAACGAACAGTATGAGAAGCTGACAACAAGTGACCAGAATGGACTTATCATTGTATGGATGCTCTACAAAGGTGATTACTGCCATCAAACTAAAAATACAAGTAGGCTTGTAATAAGCGCGGCTTAAGCTTAAGCTTTTGTTTCGACCAAAGGAACTACACCCCCAGAACTAGGAACTTTTGGAGGAAATCACTGCATTTCCACCGAAGGGACCAGGGTTTAAATTTAGTTCTATGGTCTTTATTTTACCCCTTTCCAAAAGTACCGATACTTTGGGGGGCTTGCCTTGCAGTGAATTTATGAATGGGCGAGAAGACGCTACTGGCTTTAACACGAGAACCGCCAACTGGTCAAATTTACCCGCGGTTGTTTTATGATTGTATGTATCTTTGTCCCCCAGTCTCTGACTTTTCCTAAAAGTGGGTTATGTAGCACCCCCTATTGTTAAAATAAAGCCAGATAAAAAAAAAAGGGCATTTATATCTGTAAGCGCCAGCGGGTAAAATTTACCCCTATAGAGAATACAGTCATTTTAGCGCTGTTCATGTTGCGCGTTTGGATAAACATTCTATGTTGTTATCGGCAACGCCTTTCCCGCTACAGAACAGCTGATGGAGTTACGCTAAATACAGGGTCTGAAGTTGTTGTTTTAAGTTTTCATCAGTCAGGAAGTTTTTACACAGAGCTGAAGTCGGTCTCCTCTTCTCCAAAACAAGTGGAACAGCTGATTACGGCAGGTAATAAAGCTTGTTCAAAATCCTGTTCCTCCGACGCTCAGGCGGACACAGACGTGAATGCAGCCAGCTGATCTGCAGGTCTTGTCGGCTGAAAAAGTTTTAATAACCTTCCAAACTGCTGTCTCTGTGCTCTGGTTATTTTAAGAACTTGATCGCTTTATCCAGTATGTTATTAAATTTGTAACGATCTTTATCATGTGTCTCTCATTATACTCCCACACAAAGCAAGCTGTTTTTAATGGTCAAGCATAGCCTATAGTTTTTCAATAATTCCAGTCAAATCTGATGTTCATTTATAAATTTTGCTCATGGATAGTGGTAAAATTTTTTTTAGGGCAGATAGACCTACGTCAGCTGGTTAATTTGCTTAATCTTCACAGGTCTTTAGGCCTCGATGGAAACGCACACAATAAGGGGCTGAAGGAACCTTTTAGTCCCTTGAAAAGATAGCCGAGGTCTTTTGGTCGAAACGCAGCTTTTTATAGTTGTTTGTCTTTGCCCCCTCCGAAGGTGCATGGTACGAGGAGATGATCAACAACCGGAACAAGTCGGTGGTGAGGAGCATGAGTTGGAACGCTGATGGTCAGAAGATCTGCATTGTGTATGAAGATGGAGCCGTCATTGTCGGCTCTGTAGATGGTAAAATAGACTTAAACTGTCACCATTAAAAATCTAATAAATGACAATCAATTACAGAATTTTTCCAGCTAAATTTGGCAAAATATTGTCCCTTGACAGGGATTGCTTTGTTCTCATACTGAGGGAATGATGCGAACATGTACAGTAGTATAAATGCCTTTTTTATTTGGTAGGAAACCGGATCTGGGGAAAAGAGTTAAAGGGAAATCAGCTTGCTCATGTAGCATGGTCACCAGATAGCAAGATCCTCCTCTTCGGCATGGTCAACGGGGAAGTACAGATCTATGACAATCAAGGAAACTTCATAGTGAGTACATAAACATGAGTAAAATAGAAAGTTCAGTTAATTTTAGTGTGTGCCTTGTATTGTCATCAGTGCAGCTTTCAGCGCACATGGAAAGAGCAGATTTAGTAAGAATCTGTTATCATACATTCTTCAACATCATCATATCAACATTAGTCTCTTTAAAGCTTTAAATGGTGATATATTAAGTTGTTACTGATAAATAATAATAATAATAAATAATTTTAAAGTTTTGTAAAGCCCTAAGTGTAGGACTTGAAAATATCAGACTTTGCCAACCTAAACTGACTTTGATTCTGCCTTTCTTTCAGGCACATCAGATCTTACCATATGCTCACTTTTACTGATTACATATATGTATATGTTGACTTTTTTATATTCTATGTTTTGTTTCAGATGAAAATGACCGTCAGCTGTCTCACCAATGCAACTGGAGCTGTCAGTATAGCAGGAATCCACTGGTACGCAGGAACTGGTGGTTACATTGAACCGGACTGTCCATGTCTTGCTATCTGTTTTGACAATGGAAGGTGCCAGATTATGCGCTTCGAGAATGATGAAAGTAAGAAAAAAAACAGTATATTGCAGTTTATTATCCAGGTTACACTTGAATGAAATGTTTACCAATGGTGCTGTGCTATGCTGCTGCCCTTTTCTTCAGACCCGGTGTGTATTGACACTCAGATCAATGTGGTCAGTATCCAGTGGAATCATTGCGGCAGTGTACTGGCGGTGGCGGGTTCTCTCAGAGCCTCAAATATGGAGAAAGAATTCAATGTTGTGCAGTTCTACACACCATTTGGAGAGGTGAGGGTGAAGATTTTACTTACATAGAATTTTATCCATAAAGATCAGGCATATGCAGTATACCATATACAGTATATGGGAGCAAACAGTTGACATAGAATGGACAGAATTATAAAGAATCCAATGTCTTTTGTTTCTGTTTTTTTAAGAATGAAATACCTCGCAATGTTAGTTTCTCTTTTGATAAAAGGGTAAATGGCTATGTTGAAGAATTATTGTGAGCCAGGTTCAAGTGTGAAGAAGTTTAACATAGCATGGTTTAT